TTTTTATGGAACGACCTTCAGTCGCGACGACGTGCTCGAATACGCCGTCGCGAACCGCTGCCCGGGGTGGGAACAAGAAATACGCGCGAGACCGCTGCGACGAGAGGGGACGCTTTCTCCGAGCTAGGGTCCCTCGTGTATCGATTCAACTCTACGCGCCCCCGAGACCACCCGGCGCCTTCTCCGCGGGCGACGCCCCCTTCCCCGCCACCGCCGCCGTCGTCGTCGTCATCNTCGTCCCCGCGCCGCCGACGCCGAGGAACGCGTTGGAACGCGCCGCGAGGGCGCGGGACCGCGGGCAGGCGCTCACGGCGGGGCAGGAGGCGGCGCTGAGCGCTTTGGACGCGCTGCGGAAGGGGAAGTTTTTGACCGAGAGGCAGAAGGAGGTGCTGAGACGCGCGCGGATGGACGACGACGACGTCGTGTTCGGGGTCGGCGGCGCGGAGACGACGACGACGACGACGACGGCGGCGGCGGCGGGGAAGGGGGCGTCGCCCGCGGAGAAGGCGCCGGGTGGTCTCGGGGGCGCGTAGAGTTGAATCGATACACGAGGGACCCTAGCTCGGAGAAAGCGTCCCCCCTCGTCGCCGCGGTCTCGCGCGTATTTCTTGTTCCCACCCCGGGCAGCGGTTCGCGACGGCGTATTCGAGCACGTCGTCGCGACTGAAGGTCGTTCCATAAAAATTTTTTTCATCGATCAGACGCGATCAAGTGTTGAAACCGAGCTATGGGTGAAAAACTTTTGTATAGAACGCACCCGAGGAGCCGAGCGGCGGAAAACACCCACGGGCCCCACTCCGCGCCGTGCTCCACCGCCCACTTCAGGACGTCCAGATGCCCGCCCATCGCGGCGCCCCTGGTGACGAGCGGTCCGAACTCGTACTCGAGCTCTCGCAGCCATCGGAGGAGCTTCAGGTTGCCAGCGACGGCGGCGTAGTGGCAGAAGAACGCGCCGCGGTGAAACTGCGGGAGTGCCATTCATATCATATCGGTCAGTTGAAAGGAGACGCGATCAAGTGTTGAAACCGAGCTACGGGTGAAAAACGTTTGTTAACACAGCACGCACCTGAGGGTCGACGCGGTCGACGTACGCTCGCGCGCGCGCCTTGGAGACGCCCGCCTCGACGCGCTCCAGCGTTCGCATGAGCGCGTCGAGGCGCCACTCGATGTCGCTGTGCCGCTCTGCCATGCGCGCGTGACCGAGCGCGCGCATGGACGAGAACTCGAACGACGGCGGCAAGGACGCGACGCCGCGCGACGCCTCCGCGAAGGCTCTGCTGGACGCGACGAGAGACGCGCGGTCGACGACTGCGGTGAGGGCCGTTCGTTCCACGCGAGCGAACGTCGGGGTGCGGCTCGAAGGCGTCAGGGGTGGAGTTGAAAGGCGCCGAGGGCGGGGATTGAACGCGAGGGATGGGCGGAGAGGAACGCCGGGCGAAGTCCTTAAGGAACGGCGTTCACGTTTGGCGAACGCGGTCGCGTGGGGACCAGTGCGAGGAGAACGCGCCCGAGGCGACGCCCGACAGCACGCCGCACGCGACGACGCCGTCGAGCGGGAGCGACGGCGGCGCGTCGGAGGGCGGGGGGGTCGACGCGAGCGCGTCGTTTCGCTTCTTCGATCGCGTCTGCATGACGACGCGAGGAGGGGAGTGACGGGAGGCGCGCGGGGGGGTGCGGGGGTCGGGGTGGTCGCGTCGTGGCTCGGGGAAACCTCGGGACAGACGAAACGACGCGACGCGACGCGACGCTCGCGAGTTGACGTTCTGCTGTTCGACCGACGTCCAAAGTCGCCCGCGCGACGTCGCCGCGGCACGCACGACGGGGCTCGGACGCCACAACCGCCACCGCCGCGCCGCGCTCGCCTCGCGCGCGCCGACCGCGAGCATGGCTCCGAGGGATAAGGTCAAGAACCCGGCGTATCAGCTCGTGGATAAGGTGCGCGCGCGTCGCGTCCGATCCCTCGCGCTCGCTCCCTCCTCGCGGCCGCGCGTCGACCGACGACGATGAGATTATTCCCATCCGTCCGGGCGACGCGATCTGACGCGTCCGCGGCGTCGGCGGCATCCCGCGCGTCGACGCGCGCGGGCGTTCGCCTCGCGATGCCGTCGCGACGCCGCGACGCCGCGCGCCTCGCGCCGCGCGCGCGCCGCGGCCGCCGGCTCGGCGGCGCGCGAGCCCGCGCGCAGAAACCGACTACAGCGTGACGTCGACGATTGCGCGCTTTCCGACACGTGTAACTAATTCCCATCATCACCTCGTCGCGCTCGCTTCTCCCCGACCCACCTCAGGCGACGTACGATCACCTTCCCGAGCCGGACTGGGGCGTGTGCGTCGACCTGTGCGACCTCGTCAACGCGGAGTTCCCGACGTACGGCAAAGACGCGGTGAAGGCGCTCAAGTTGAAGATACAAAAGCGACACCGACCCAACGCGCAGTCGTTCGCGTTCACGACGCTGGAGACGTGCATGAAGAACTGCGGCGCGCGGTTTCATCACATGGTCATCGCGAAGGACGTCCTGGGTGAGATGATGCGTTTAGTCCTCGGCGGGAAGTTACAGCCGGAGGTGCGGACGAAGATCTTGGAGCTCGTCGAGGAGTGGGCGACGCAGCTCCCGATTCATCAGGCGCGTTCTATCTCACACTGGTCCCCATACGACCGCGTCGGCGTGGTGGACGCCGATCCTTAAGGACTTTTCCCGGCGCATCTCTCCGCCCAGGGTCCCTCGCTTTCAATCCCGACACGCCTCGACGCCTTTCAACTCCACCTGACGCCTATGAACTCCACCCCGACGTTCGCTCGTATGGAACGGCCCTCAGTACCGAGCGACGTACGAATCGCTCCGCATGCGCGGCGTGATGTTCCCCGGCGTGAACGTCGATGCGATGCCGCCGATGCGGTTAGCGCCGCGATCCGCGGATGACGTCATGGCGGGGCTCGACCCCGCGGACGCCGCGGCGATTCGAGAGGCGCTGCGGGAGGTGGAGGCGGAGGTGGAGGCGGACGAGGCTGAGAGAAGAGAGCGCGGGAGAAGGGCGCACGAGAACCAGCACGACACGAGCGATTTCAGTCCGTACGGCCCCGGCTCCGTCGCGATCGGGCGGCCGCTCGAGCCGTCGCCGCGGCGGCCGCGGCGCGGGTACGAGCATCTGGACGGCCCGGACCCCGACCGCGGCCGCCCTCGATCGTTCGACGAGGGACCCCGGTCGTATTACGGCCGCGGGACGCAGATGTATCCGACGTACGACTCGAGAGGGGCGAACCCGGTGCACTACGACGACGACATGGCCGCGGCGTTGGCCGCGAGCGCGAGGGAGGAGCAGCCGCCGCCCGCGGACGCCGAGCCCGTGGACTCGTCCTCGCCCGAGGCGGTCGCCAAGCTCAGGGACGACATCGCCGTCGCGGCGAATTCCGTCGGCGTCCTCCGGGACATGATCGCGGGGATCGACCCGTACCGGTCGTACCCGCCGCTGTCGCAGCTCGTTAACGCGGACGAGATCGCGGAGCTCAGCGCGCAGTGCCGCGCGATGCGGCCGCGGGTCGTGTCGCTGGTGCAGAGCGTGAGCGACGAGGGGTTGCTGATGTCCGCGTTGTCGCTGAACGACGACATCGGCGCCGCGCTGGAACGGTACGACATTTTAGTGGAGATCTCGAGAGCGGACCCGGACGCGAAAGCCGCGCTGTTGGCGTCGCTGGGCGCGATAGGGACCGCGGACGGGAGTGCGGCGGCGCCGCCGGACGCGGAGACGGCGCGGACGGCCGCGCGCGCCGCCGCGGGCGTCGGGCGCGGCGCCGTCGGCGGCGGCGGTGGCGGCGGCGCCGCGCCCGCGGATCTCGTCGACCTCTCCGCCGAGAGGTCCGCGGCGGTCGTCGACCCGTTCGACGTCCGACCAGAGGTCGTCCCGAACCACGGGCGCATGGGCCCGACGTCCGTCCCGGAGCAGACGCTCCCCGCGCACCCGGGGTATCGCCTCGAGCCCATCCCCGCGGCGATGCCGGCGGCGGCGGGCGAGGTGACCCTCGACGATCTCCTCGGGCCGATGCCGTCGGGTGCGTTCTATACAAACGTTTTTCACCCATAGCTCGGTTTCAACACTTGATCGCGTCATCTTTCAACTGACCGATGAACTATTTTTGTATGGAACGACCCTCAGATCACAACGCGGTGTCGGACCCGTTCGCGGCGTCGCCCGCGCCGACGCGATCCACCGCCGCCGCGAGCAGCACGAACCCGTTCGGGGAGTCCTACGTCGCGCCGTCGCCCGGCGTGTCGACGCCGCCGGGAAGCGGGTACGGAGGACTGCCGCCGATGGCGTCGCCGCCGGGGCATTCGAGCGTCGTGAACCCTCTGTTCGCGCGCGACGCCGGCGGCGTCGGCGCGGGCGGCGCGGGGATCGGGTCCTCCTCCGATCCTTTCGCGGCCGTGGACCCGCTTTCGTCGCCGCCGCCGAGGAGCTCGGGGCCGATGTCCGCGCAGCGAGGGCGGGGCGGAGGCGGCGGCGGTGGCGCTGGGGGGGGGGGCGAAACGAATCCGTTTCTCGCGATGCCGCCCAGCCCGTCGCAGCGGCGGCGGTGAGAGACGAAATATGATACCCTGTAGCCGCGCGCGCGTTGTACCGTGAAGAGTGTGTTACGTTACGTCTTCTGACGCGTCGGTCGATCGTCGTCGCGACACGAGTCGTCTACATAACTTATTCATCCCCGCCGCCGCCGCCGCCGTCCTCTGCTTTCTTTTTCTCCTCCGCCCTTTCCCCGCGCGAAGACCCGCGAGACGACTTCCTTCGCGTATCTTTACCGTCGTCGTCCTTCTCATCCTTCTCGCCTCTCTTCTCGTCCCGCCGGTCTTTTTTCCGATCCTTCCGATCGTTCCGGTCTTCTTTCCGGTCCCTCCGGTGACTGTTCCGGTCTTTCCGGTCCTTCCTCTTCCGGGATGAGGACTTCTTTTCGTCGCCGTCCCCGTCCGTCCGCTTGTTCGCGTCGAGGTCTTTTTCCTTTCCCTCTATTTCGCCGCGCCCCTCCTTCTCGTCCTTCCCCGCGCCGCCGCCGCCGCCGCCCGCGTCCTCCTCGCCGGGCCCCTCAACCTTCTCCCTCTTCGCCTCCTTCCTCGCGGAGTTTCTCTTCGCGTCGCGCTCTTCCTTCCGTTTCTTCCTCCGCCTTCGCGTCTCGCTCCCCGTGGACGACGACGACGACGACGAGTCGCTCGAGCTGAAGGAAGAACTGGAGGAGCTCGGCGACGGATCCCGCGCCCGGCGTCTCTTCTCGCGCGCCCTCTTCGTTCGCTTCCGCTCGCGTCTGCGGTCCGCGCCCGCGGTGCCCCACACGTTCTTCAGCTTATCTTTGATGATCGGGTTGTTCGAGTGTTTCACCTTCAACGTCATCTCCGCGAGCATCGTTCCGCTGAGCGCCTTCGCCGCCTCCGCGGACGCTTTATCCGTGAACTCCACGAATCCAAACCTGGACGGATTGAAATCGCTCCCGGCGAACTTAACGTACGTGACCACGCCCGCGACGCTGAAAAAATCCGCGAGCATGTCTTCCGTGATGCTGCTGTTCACGTTCCCAGCGTACACCGTCCGCGCGACGTCGCTCGTGTCCTCCGCGCCGCCCTGCTTCTCGCGCTCCTCGCGGTATTCGACGTGCGCCTCCGCCGCGGCTCGCGCGCACGCGATCATGTGCGGAATGGGAACGAACAACGCGCATCGCTTGAAGCCCTTCGGGAGCCACTCCGGGAGCTTCGCCGCGGCTTGCTTGAGGAGCGCGATCGGGTCCTCCATGACCGCCTGCTGCGCCATCGCCACCTGCTGCGCTTGCAGAAGCTGCTCGCGGGACGGCTGGTAGGACGCGCCTCCGGGGGCGGTCCGCGCGCCGCCGGGGGTGGTCGAGACAGAGATGACGCGGTCCACGAGCGTCATGTTGTTCAGGACGAGCGCGCTCTTCGCCGCGGCGGCGTCCTCGTACACGGCGACGTACTGCCGCGACACCGCGTCGCCCACCGCCGTCGCCATCGCTGCGCCGCCCCCCGTCGGCGTGAGCGACGACAGCGCGCCGCAGCACTGCAGGAATTCTCTGAGCGTGTCGTCCGTCACGGACGGCGACACGCCGTCGACGTAGACGCTCCGCGCGATCGTCTCCGGCGTCGCGGCGACCGCCATCTTCGGCGCGGTCGCCGTCGCGAGGTCGCCGCCGTCCGTGCCGAACGGCGCGGAGGAGGATCCGCCCGGGACGCTACGACCCGCCGCGGTGGACGACGGCGCGACGACGATCGGCGGTGCCGCCCCCGGGCGGCCGGGAACGAGGCCCCCGGCGTCGCGCGTCTTCGTCGTCGTGATCTCGAACTCCATCGCGGACGGCGGCGACGGGGAGGACGGAGATCGCGCGACGCGGCGGGAGCGCGCCTTTCTTCGCCCGCGCGCGTGCGGATCGCCAGGCGCGCGGATTCGCACTGGCGATGGCGGCATCATAATTTGTGTTTGACACTCGAACGCGCGTGAACAGAAGGAGGAGAGGAAAAAATGAACGGCGTTTCATGCGCCCGCCAGCCTACGTCGCGCGCTCGTCATCACCGCCGCTTCTTCCCCCCCGCGGCGACCGCCTCGTCCTCACCCTCCGCGCCCCCCGCCTTCTCCTCCTCCTCTCTCTCGAACTCGTACGCCGCGAGCGCGCGGGAGCTCCCCATGAGCTGGCACCAGTTCGCGAATTGTTTCATCGCGAATCCGGGAAGCGCCGCGACGCACAGCTGTTTCGCGACGGTGTCGAACGCGCCCAGGCTCAACGTCCTCGGCCACGCGCCGCCGACCGATCCCATTCCCATCCACGACGGCATGCTCGGTAGGTTTATGGATACCGATTTCCCCACGATCGGGAGGATCGATTTCGGGATACCGAGAACGCCCCCGACGCCGCCCGGCGCCGCCGTCGCCGCGTGAATCGCGAGATACAAAACCTCGCACGACACGCAACACACGCCCATGAACGCGCGGTTGCTGTAATACAACCTCAGCAGGAAATACCGCGAGTCCGCGACGTCTTTGTGCGACTTCTTCCCCCCCGGCCTCAACGACGACGCGTGGACGTGCACCCAATGCGACGCGATGTCCAGCATCACGAGACCGACGCACGGGTAAAAGAGCGTCGGGACCTCCGCGGCGACGACCATGAGCAGCCCCGTCGTGCTCAGGGTCGTTCCATACGAGCGAACGTCGGGGTGGAGTTCATAGGCGTCAGGTGGAGTTGAAAGGCGCCGAGGGCGGGGATTGAAAGCGAGGGGTGGGCGCAGAGAGACGACGGCAAAAGTCCTTAAGGATCGGCGTTCACCACGCGAACGCGGTCGTATGGGGACCAGTGTGTAGAACGCACCTCAGACGATCGGTCACCATGTCCAGCGTCGCGCCGTACTCGCTGCACTGATCGAACATCCGCGCGAACCGCCCGTCGAGCTCGTCGCACACGAAGGACAGAAAGTACGCCGCGAGCGAGAACTCGACGCGCGAGAAGGCGGTGAGGAGCGACGCGATCGTCAGCGCGACGCGCGCGTAGCCGATCAGGTTGGGAACGTAGAGGAACACGTTTCGGTGCCTGGTGAAGAAGCCGCCGAAAACGCCGCCGCCGCCGCCGTCGTCGCCGCGATGACGACGACGACGGCGCGGCGGCGGCGGCGGCGGCGACGGCGCGGCGGCGCGGCGGGCGGCGCGTTTGGGGGGCATGGCGCGCGGCGTTGGCGCGGGCTGCAGCGCGCGGAAGAAGACTGACGACGACGCCGCGATGGACGCCGGCGAGCCTTCTCTTCGAAACCACGAGCTCTCGCGCGACGACGAGCCGGCGTCAGCCGCGGTCGCCATTATTTGAACTCGCGCGCCGAGGCCGACGCGACGCGGCGACGCGCGGAGGTCGACGAGCGCGGGAGACGCGCGCGCACCGAAGGCGAGCGCGTTCGGGAACGACGCCGCGCGCGCGCGCGCGACGAGTCGCCCGCGCGACGCCGAACCGCGCGCGGAGATCCGTCGGGGCGTCGTCGTCGTCGTCGTCGTCGTCGTCGAGCGAGGCGAGCGATGACGGAGCTCGCCGCGCCCGCGGGGGACCCCGCGGAGGACAAGCATCTCGAGGCGTTCCTCGCGGAGTGCGTGCACGAGGCGCTGAACAACTACATGCTCGCCGACGCGATATTCCTCGGCGAGCGTCTCTACGCCGCGTGCCCGACCGAGGCGCGTCCTAGGCACCTCCTCGCGAGGCTCCGACGCGGATCCTCGGACGCCGCGATCGAACCGCGTCCTCGTCCCCTAAACCCTCTCCTCCTCCTCCTCCGCCGCGCGTACCCTAAACCTAATCTCAAACCCTAACCCCCCCCACCCTCCCTCCCCTCCCTCCGCAGACGAACGCGCATCTGCTCGCGACGTGCTACTACCGCGACGACCAGGCGTTCCGCGCGTATCCCCTCCTAAAGGACGCGTCGTCCGATCAGGCGCGTCCCATCTCACACTGGTCCCCATACGACCGCGTTGGCGTGGTGAACGCCGTTCCTCAAGGACTTTACTTCCCGGCGTGCGTCTGCATCTCTCCGCCCAGGGTCCCTCGCTGCTTTCGATCCCCGACATCGACGCCTTTCAACTCCGCTTCTGACGCCTTTCGACTCCGCCCCGACGTTCGTCGCTTCGTACGGAATTTCTCGGCCCTCATCAGAGCCGCTACCTCCTCGCGTTGTGCTGCGTCAAGCTCGACAAGCCGTCGGAGGCGGAGGCCGCACTGTCCGGCGACGACCGGTTCGCGGACACGCGAACGATGTCCCCCGCGCAGGCGGTCGCGGCGATGCGCGTCCCCAACGGCGCGTGCGGGCACCATCTCCTCGGCGTGCTGTGTAAGGACTCGGGGCGGACTCGTTGGGCGGCGGCGCACTTCGCGGCGGCGCTCGCGATCGATCCGTTCGCGTGGAGCTCACACGAGGAGCTCTGCGCGCTCGGCGCGGAGAGCGAGGCGGAGAGCGCGATGAAACGCGCGAACCCGGGGCGTTTATATCCCCCGCTGTCGGACCTCGGAGGGCTGGTGGAGATTGTCGACGGCGGCGGCGGCGGCGGGGGGGGGCCGGAGGTCGCCGCGGATGCGGAGCAGACGCCCGCGGCGACGACGCGGCCGCCGCCGCCGCCGCGGTTCACGAGTGCCGGCGAGTCGACGAGGGACGTGGACACGCCCGCGCCGGACAGCACGCGCGGGATGATGCCGCCGCCGCCGCCGAGCGCGGGCGCGGGGGCGGGGGCGGGGGGAGGCGCGTACGACACGCCGTCCCCGATGGACCCGGCGTCGCAGCCGCCGCCGCCGCCCAAGCCGAATAATCCGATCGGCGCGCGCGGCGGTAACGGCGGCGGCGTCGGCGTTATCGGCGACAGCGCGACAGTCGACGACGACGACGCCGCGATGGCGATGACCGGCGGCGCGGAGAGCACCGCGGGGACGGCGGCGTACGGCGGCGGCGGGAGAGGCATCGACCGGAGAAAGTTCATCGACGAAGGGAAATTGCGGAAAGTGAGCGGGCGTCTGTTCAGCGAACCCGGGAGCGTCGGCGGGGGCGCGGGCGGGGGCGCGGGGACCGGCGCGGGGACAGGCGCCGGGACAGGCGCGGGCGCGGGCGTGCGACGGAGCAGCCGGCTCGCGGCGGCGAGCACCCCCGGATCGTCGGGTGGGTTCAACACCCCCGCGAGCGATCCGGGCTCGACGCCGCCGCGACGCGGGGGCCGCGGCCGCGGCCGCGCCGGCGCCGCCGCCGGCGGCCGCCGATCCCTCGACGGTCTCGACGCTCCCGCGTCCGCGTCGGTCTCGCACTCGCACTCGGAGGGGGGTCCCGCGGCGACCGCGCAATACGCCGCGGCGCATTACCATCGCGCCGCCGCCGGCGACCGCGCGTCGTCCGCGGCGCGGGGGCCCGGGGGGCGGTTCGCCGAGGGCGCGGCGGCGGCGTTGACGCTTCTGAAACCTCTCGCGGACGCGTCGCGGCAGTTCGCCATGTTTCGCTGCTCGGACGCGATCGCGTCTCTGGAGAAACTCCCTCCCGCGCAGTACGCGACCGGGCACGTCCTGTGCCTCGTCGGGAGAGCGCACGCGGAGATGGTGGACTACCCGTCCGCGAGGCACGCGTTCGAGTGGGCGCGCGCGGTGGACCCGCGCAGACTCGAGGGCATGGAGGTGTACAGCACGGTTCTGTGGCATTTGAAGAGAGAGGTGGAGCTGTCGCACCTCTCGCAGGTGGTCGTCGGCCTCGACCGGCTCTCGCCGCACACGTGGTGCGTCCTCGGGAACTGCTTCTCGCTGCAGAAGGAGCACGAGACGGCGTTGAGGTATTTTCAGCGCGCGCTGCAGCTGGACCCGGGGTGCACGTACGCGCACACGCTCTGCGGGCACGAGTATTTCGCCAATGAGGATTTCGAAAAGGCGACGGCGTGCTACCGCGCCGCGCTGCGCCTCGACTCGCGGCATTACAGTGCGTGGTACGGACTGGGCACGGTGTACTACCGCCAGGAAAAGTATGAGCTCTCGGAGTACCACTTCCGGCACGCGTTGTCCATCAACTCGCGGAGCAGCGTGTTGTTTTGTTACCTCGGCATGGCGCAGCACGCGTTGCGTCGGAACGGCGACGCGTTGGAGCTTCTCCAGCGCGCCATCGCGCTGGACGGGCGGAACCCGCTCGCGAAGTACGAGCGCGCGGCGGTGTTGCTGTCCGAGGATCGGTTCCAAGACGCGCTCGAGGAGCTCGAGAGCTTGAAGGAGGTGGCGCCTCGGGAGGCGAGCGTGTTTTTCCTCATGGGCCGGATTTACAAAAAGTTGAACCTGCCCGAGGAGGCCATGGTTAACTTCTCCACGGCGTTGGACCTGAAGCCCGTGAGCGGGGACGTGAACTTGATCAAGAGCGCGATCGAGAAGCTGCACGTCCCGGACGACGGCGAGGAGGACGACCTGTGACGCGATGAAGGAGGGGTCGACGCTCGTCGTTCGCGAACGTTCGAACGAACACTACGTAGGACTGATCGATTCGAACATCATACAGTACAGTGGTGTGCGGCTCTTCTCTCTTCTCTCTCTTCGCTCCGTCGCGCCGCGTCTAGTCCCTCTCCGAGATCGCGGTGAGGTGCTCCTCGATGACGTCCGAGCTCAACAACCGAAAGTTCTTGTTCTCCGTCGTCACGATCCCAACCTCGAGCTCTTTCGACTTCAGATCCTCTCCCAGCACGCTCTGCAGGCACGAGATGGCAGTCTGAATCGTCTCCGTCTCGTCGAACGCGTTTCCGGCGTTTTCACCCTTCACCTTCTTCTCCAAAAAGTTAATCGCCTCCTGCTCCTTCACGCCCGCGCTCGTGGCCTTGTACCCGACGCAGTACCCCGCCGGGTCGTTCTTGAACAGGCACGGCCCTTTCTCTTCGTCGATGCCGACGAACATGCACATCGCCGCCATCGGACGCATGTACGCGTGTTGCGTGTAGACTTGAAACTCATCCGCCATTCGCGTCGAGAGAAAGTCCACGGGGATCTCGTAGCCAAACTCGTGGCGGAACTCCGCAGCCTTGTGCCGCGCTTTTTGAACGACGTTCCGTATGTCCGCTGCGCGAGGACGACGGTCGAGCGGTCGAGGGCCCAGGGGTGGTGAGGGAAGCGTCGGCGGCGGGCGAACGGAACGGAACGGAACGCGCGCGTAAGGATGGATGTTTTTAGGGTTGACGAGAGGGAGAGGGCCTGAACGATCGATCACGTCGTTTTCCGCGCGGGAGGGGACCGGGCGGGGCGCGAGGACGACGCGGGCGCGCACGTGATTTCCCCGTCGCGCACATCCCGATGACCTTCGTGATTTTGAACATGTGCGTCACGTCCGCCGGGTCGACGAGCTTATCCTGCGGCGCGAACGCGGACGGGGAAGGGCGTCAGATCTGGGAGCGTCGACGCGGAAGAGACGAGCGAGCGAGCGAATGACATCGCGGGCGGGGAGAGGCGCGAGAGGGAGCGCGCGCCGCACCGGAATCTTCTTCTGCGTGACGACGCACACGCTGTCCTTCCCTCGGACGCCGATCGAGGTCACGCCCACGGACTTGATCGCCTTGAACGCGTACTCTGTATCATGGAAGAAGAGAGAGGACGGGCGGTCAGCGAGCGGTTGGACGACGGACGAGGGATGCGTTCTCGTCGACGCGGGGCGCGGGGGCGCGACGCTCGCGATCGCGCGCGACGCACCGACTTGGTACAGACGACCTTCCGGCGAGAAGATCGTGATGTGGCGGTCGTAACCGGACCCGCTTCCCCGGCTCATGACGCGCGAGTGTCGCCGATCGTGCGCGGCGCGACGACGTGTGCGCGCGCTTCCTTTCATCAGCCGGCGACGAGTGCTTCAAAAAAGCGAACGGACTTTCATCACTGTTTCTGTTCGTTTCGTCCTGTCTGGTCCAGACAGTGGAAGGCTCGGCGCGGAGGCGCCGTCGTGAGTACGCGTACTTTACCTTATCACTCGCGCGTGTTCTTACAACGCGCTTCTACTACGTTCCATTCGCTCGCGCGATTTCGATTTCGATTCGCGCACGGCTAGCTAGCGATTATGCACAAAAAAACTCGGCGCGCGTCGACGCTCGCGCGCGGTCCCGGGAACCGCCGGGCCCGCGCCGCCGTCGACCCCCGCGAAAATAATATCTTAGTCCCTCCGCCGAACGGAACGGATCGGACGGCGCGGCGACGTCCCTCTCCGTCGCGTCGTCCTCCATCCGTCCGTCCATCCGTCCGTCCGCCCGTCCGTCCGTCCGTCCACGCATCCATCCAATCGTTCTAAACTCACCCTACCGGCCATCCGACCGACCGATCGATCGGTCGACCGACTCAGAACACGCACCCGGAGCGGTCGACGACGTTGCAGTGCACGACGTCGGCGACGTGCGCGGACCAGTTCGCGACGGGGCCGACGGCGTCCGGGCCCGCGCCGCCCGGGTTCGTGGAGACCGACTGCGCGAGGATCCCGAGCCACGCGAGCATCGCGAGGCGGCAGTGCTTCAGCTCCTTGATCTTGAGCGTGTCGAGATCCTCGCCGAAGAAGTTGGCCTCCTTGCCTTCGGAAAAGTTGAGCGGGTCGAACCGGCCGCCGGGGAACACTGAGGGTCGTTCCATACAAAGCGAACGTCGGGGTGGAGTTGAAAGGCGTCAGTTGGAGTTGAAAGGCGTCGAGGACGGGGATTGAAAGCGAGGGACCCTGGGCGGAGAGACACGCCGGCAAAAGTCCTTAAGGAACGGCGTTCACCACGCCGACGCGGTCGTAAGGGGACCAGTGTAACTAGAACGCGCCTGATCCCGCGACGACGTCGTCGAAGGGGTTCTCGATGAGCCCCGTCCTCGCGCCCTCGACGTAGCCCATGAGCGCGACCTCGATCGCGATGATGCCGATCAGCGCGCCGTCGTACGACGGCGTGAATTCGTTGTTGAGGTACGAGAGGTTGCACTCGTCGAACGTGCACTCCTCGCCCGCCATGAACCACGGCGTGCCGACGAGGTTTTCCTGCGCCCACGCGCCGGTGACTCCGAGCATGGCGAAGCGGCCGTGGATGATCTCCGCGGAGACGTTGTTCTTGTACTCGTCGTACGTGAGGGAGCCGACGGGGGAGATGCGCTCCGCGGACGGGAACTCGCCCCACTCCTGTCGGTCGAGGAAAAAGATTAGCGCCGGCGGAGGGAGGACGCTCTAGCTAGAGGACTGATAACTGATGACTGACTGCGAGGGGAGCGATCGACCGATCGATCGGCATGTCGAAATATCTCGCGCGCGCGTCGCCGCCGCGCGCGCCGACGCGCGACGTCGCCGCGGCGCGTCGGAACGGCGGGCGCGTCCGATGGACGCGCTCATCGCGCGCATCGCGCGAGAAGAGCGCGATGCGAGGGAGGCGCGCGTCGAGGGGAGGGAGGACGCACCGGGTAGATCTCGATGTCGGACCGCCACTTCGAGTCCTTCTTCAGCGAGACGCGGTCCTTGGTCATGCGCGCGAACACCTTGAGGCCGGCGTTCGCCTTGACGGAGGAGCGGGAGGGGACGGACGCCTTGAGCGGCGTCGCGAGCGCGGAGCGCATCGTGAGAGAGGAGGCCATCGTGTGAGGACGAAGGAGACGGGCGGCGGCGTGTGCGGGAATGCCAGCTGCCGCGCGTCGTTCGAGCGTTGCGAAGAGCAGATTCGGAAAATTTCGCGAAGAGGCGCGAACGGCGCGACGCGATTGGCCGAGCCGGTCGCCGCGGTTATTCGCCCCGGCACTTCGGGCGAGATGGATTCTGCCTTCGCGTTTCGTACGCGTTTCAGTCTGAGATTTCCCCAGGTGGCACCAGTGATCCGACGCCAGCTGTCGGTCGCGCACCTTTTTTTGGTTTTTGGTTTTTTCACCGGATTGTTCCGATGTCTCCCCCGGCGCGCGCGGCCGCACTCCTCCCGCCGAGCACGCGCACGCGCGCGACCGCCGTCCGTCGAACGCTCACGTCACGCACCATGGCCGCGCTCGCGTCCGCCGCGACGACGTCGCTCTCCTCCGCCGCGCTACGCCGCGGCGCGCGCGCGAACGCCGCGAAAAACAAGTGTGCCAACTCCAAGCGCGTCAAATTCGTCGTCGCGCGCGCCGCGTCGTCGTCGTCGTCCTCGGACCACGAGTCCTCCGCCGCGTCTGCGTCCTCCGTCCCCGCGAAGATCGTCGCGACGCTCGCGGCGGCGACGATCGCCCTCCCCGCGATCGCGTCCTCCGCGCCGCCCGTCGTGGAGCTCGCCGCCGCGGACGTCGACGCCGCGATCGCGGAGCAGGTGGCCAAGTTTAACGAGCAGCGCGCCAAGTGCGCGAACAGCACGTGCCGCGCCACCGTGGACTCGTGGGAGGCTGCCGCGGTGAAGAAGATCAAGAAGAAGGCTGGGATCGTCGACGCGCCCAAGCCGAAGGCGTACCCGGCCGCGCCGAAGACCGCCGCCGCGCCGGCGCCGCCGCCGCCGGTCGAAGAGGCGCCGCCGCCGCCGCCGCCCGCGCCCGTCGCGCCGGCGACGCCCGCGGACAGAAAAGCCGCCGCCGCCGCCGCCAAGGCGGAGGCCGCGGCCGCGCTCCAGGCGAAGAAGGAAGCCGCGAAGGCGGACGCCGCCGCGGCCGCGAAGGCGAAGGCTGACGCGGCGGACGCGGCGAAGGCGAAGGCTGCCGCGGACGCGAAGGCGAAGGCGGACGCGGCGGAGAAGGCCAAGGCTGAGAAGGACGCCGCCGCCGCCGCCGCCAAGGCGGCCAAGAGCGCGCCGAAGGCTGCCGCCCCCGCGCCGCCGCCCGCCGCGACCGCGCCGAAGGCTGCCGCCCCAACGCCGGCGCCGGCGAAGAAAACGACGCCGCCGCCCAAGCCCGCGGCGCCGAAGAAGAAAGCCAAAGCCAAAGCCGCGCCCGGCCCCGTCGACGTCTTCGTCGGCGACGTCGTCGTCGCCGCCGTCGCCGGCGCCGCCGCGACCGCGCTCCTCGTCCCGGGCGTCAAGTCCAAGGTCACCGACGGCGACTACGAGGGCGCGCTGAACGACGCGAAGGACGTGGTGACCTCCATCGAGGGCGTCCCCGGGAAGGCGGCGTACGTCGGCGGCGTCGTCGCCGTCGACGCGTTGGTGCACCTCCCGGTGCTCGGCTTTTTCCTCCCCGGGCCGCTGCAGGCGCGTTCTGATTCGCACTGGTCCCCATACGACCGCGTTCGCGTGGTGAACGCCGATCCTTAAGGACTTTATCTCCCGGCGTCTGCATCTCTCCGCCCAGGGTCCCTCTCTCGGTTTCAATCCCGACACACCTCGACGCCTTTCAACTCCGCTTCTGACGCCTTTCGACTCCCCGCCCCGACGTCGCTTTGAACGATGGACCCTCGACCCCGCAGTTCGTCGGCGCGTGCGCGGCGACGCTCCTCGCGTCGCGCTACCTCGTCACGAAGGACGCCACCATCGGCGACGACGCGAGCGACTTCGTCGCGAAGCTCGGCGACGAGTTCCCCGCGGTCGACGACGTCGTCGCGCCGGTGACGGCGCTCGCGGGCAAGCTCTCCGTCCCGGACGTCGACGACGTCAAGGCTTCGGCGACGGAGTGGTACGAGGGCGTGAGCGACCCGGTGGAGGAGATCGCGTTCCCGGCCGCGGGCGTGGCCGCGGCGTTGCTGCTCGGTAACGTCGCGTCTTGGCCCGTTTTGGGCGTGTTCGCGCCGAGGGTGTTGGAGCTGATGGGCGTCGCCGTCGCCGTCGCGGCGGTTAAACGGTACGGCGACGACGAGGGGAGCGTCGGGGCGGATCTCACCAAATACGCCGACGACGTCACGGACGCGGTGAAGACGCTGATTGGGAAGTGAAGCGACGCGATGTGATGGGATGTGAACCGGCGCGCGCGAATAGTGTAGAGCGATAGAGGACGACGACGCGGCGCGAGCGGTCGTCGTCGCCGTCCGCGGCGTGTGAAATACAATCAACCTCCGATTCCGAGCCTGCTGTGTGTGCTGAGACTGGACAGGACGAACAGAAGTCCGACACGACCTGACATGACACATCTCTTCGCGCGCTCGAGATGGGCGGCCGCGCCGCGTCGGAGCCGCCCAATGCGGCGGCGGCGGCGCGCACGCCGGACCTTCCGGACGACATCGTAGAGCGGATCGCGCTCGCGTGCGTCCGCGGCGGCGGCCTGCGCGAGTGGTGCCGCGGCTGGCGCGGCGTCTCTCGACGCTACGCGCCGCTCGCGTGGTTCGAGTCGCACGTCCGCGGCGGCGTGCCGATGACGGTCGTGCCGTCCGCGGCGACGCCGACGGTGCAGACCGGCGTCGCGTACGCGCGCGCGTGCGCGGCGTCGCACGTCGCGCGACTCGCGTCGTGCGAGAAGATCACGCTGGACGACGACGACGACGAGGAAGTCATCGCGACGGGGCCGATCGTACTCGTCCGCGAGGGCGTCCATGCCGAGAACGTGCGCGTCACGCGGAGCTGCGCGGTGATCGGCTTCGGCGAGCGCTCGAAGTGCGTCGTCGAGGGCACGGGGTGGGAGCCCGCGCTCGCGTTCGCGGGGCTGGGGACCGCGGAGGACGGGAACGCGTTCGGGGACGACAAGCCGAGAATGCGAGAGGCGGGGAGGGTTCGCATCGGAAATCTGGAGTGGGTAGTCACCGACACGGGCGAGAACGCGTTCGCGTCGAATCTGACGCTCAGGGTCAAGAACGGCCTTCAAGCGTACGCGGTGATCGTCGTGAACGGCCGCCCGCGGTTCGAACGATGCGCGCTGCGAGGCGGGATCTTGGTGTTGGGCCACGGGACGTCGCCGAGGATGTCGAGGTGCGACGTGAGGGGCTCTCGCGGCGCCGGCGCGAAAGTAACGGATCACGCGACGCTACGCGTTCGCGACGGCGAGGTCACGAATAATGCCGGGAACGGGTTCTTGATCGAGCGCGGCGGGCTCGCGGAGATATCCGGGACGTCCGTGCTCGCGAACGGCAGGGAGGCGGTGCTGCACACGCCGGACACGGTCGGCGTGGAGCTCGTCGGGGACGACAACGACGTCCCGGCGTGCCGCGTGCGCTTAGGGATGAAGAAGCCGGGTTCGACGGAAGCCGACGCCGACGCCGACGCCGACGACCCTCCCCGCGTCGCGGTGTCGATACGGCCGAACGTGCGGCGGCTTCGACGCGGCGTCGAGCTCGAGACGCACCTGCACGGGGAGCTCCCGGACGCGAGGTGGTTCGAGCACAACAGAGAGGTGCGCGCGGTGAGAGGGTTCGAAATGGGACCGGAGGACGCGGCGTCCGACGACGACGTCGTCGAAGAAGGCGCGGCGCGCGCCGCCGCCGTCGTGCACGAGGAGGAGGACGACGCGTGGATGAACGGCTGGATGCACGCGTGAGATATCACATCGTGCGATGTCGTAGATTAGTTTAGCTCGTTATCACGTCGTCGCGCGCGCAGCCTTAGGTTACCGTATTCGTCATCGCGCGCACGTTGCGTCGTTTCGTTTTTCGTTTTTCTGCCACCAACGTCTCGTCGTCGTCGTCTTCAGAGCTTCAGCGCGCGGCACCGCTTCCACAGCGCGTAAAACTTCCTCGCCCACGCGTCGTCGGCGACCGCGCCCGGGACCCCGCGCACCGCCGGGTCGGTGACCACCTCCTTGAAGCACTGCCACGCCTCGGGGGACAGGGGACCGGGCGCTTCCGCCGCCGCCGCCGGCCGCGGCCGCTTCGGCCGAGGGATGAACGTCCGCGACGAGCTCGCGACCTCCGCGGCGTTCTTCAAGACCTTCTCCGGGAACCCTGCGAGACGCGCGACGTTCAGCGCGCACGACCCCAGCGGCGCCGGCCCGGGCGTGAGCTTGTACTCGAACGTGATGTCCGAAAAGCAACCGCCGCCGCCGCCGCCGCCGCCGTTTCCGTTTCCGTTTCCCTCTCGCGCCGTCGTCGCCGCCGCCATGTGCGCGGCGACGACGCCGCGGTCGTCCCCGACGTCCTCCGCGAGCTGATGAAAATGCGTCGCGAAGAGACACCGACACCTCGTCTGACGCGCGATCGACGTCAGCACCGCGAACGCGATCGCGTAGCCGTCCGTCGTGGACGTCCCGCGCCCGAGCTCGTCGACGATCAGCAACGATCGCTTAGGGTCGTTCCGTACGAGCGAACGTCGGGGTGGCGTTGAAAGGCGTCAGAAGCGGAGTTGAAAGGCGTCGAGGTGTGTCGGGATTGAAAACGAGGGGTGGGCGGAGAGATGCGCCTGGAAAAGTCCTTAAGGAACGGCGTTCACCACGCCGACGCGGTCGTATGGGGACCAGTGTAAGATAGAACGCGCCTTCGTCGCCCGCCGCAACGCCGCGGACGTCTCAGACATCTCCGCGAGGAACGTGCTTACGCCGCTCGCGATGCCGTCGCCCGCGCCGATGCGACACGCGACGGCGTCGACGACGTGGAGCGAGGCGGACGCGGCGGGGACGTAGCAACCGCACTGCGCCATGATCACGGCGACGGCGACTTGGCGCAACAACGTCGACTTTCCGCCCATGTTGGGGCCGGTGAGGAGCATGCACGCGGGGGCGTCGCCGCCGCCGAGGACGACGTCGTTGCGCACGAAGGGCGCCGTGGCGTCGTCGGCGTCATCGGCGGCGATCGTCGCGCGAGAGTCGCCGACGGGGACGAGCGGGTGCCAGCTGTCGCGCAGCTCCAGCCGGTTCCCGCCGCCGCCGCCGCCGCCGCCGTCGTCATCGTCTTCCAAGAACGTCGGACGGCAGAACGGCCCGGTCACCGCGCCCGGCCCCGTCCTCGACGCGAAACTCTGAAGCGCGTCAAAGTCCGCGCCCGCGCTGACGACCGCGCGCCACAGGTGCCGCCCGGTCGCGAACTCGTGCACGACGGAGGAAATTTCCCGCGTCGCCGCCGCCGCCGCCGCCGCCGCCGCGTCCTCGACGACGTCGTCGTCGTCGTCGTCGAAATTTCCGCGCGCAGACGCGTCGACGAGGTACGCCATCGCGTCGTCGAACGTCTCGCACGTCCCGGGGGATGGTAACACCTCGAACGTCGCGAGTGGGCCGCCTTCTTCGAAGAGCCACGAGCACGGGGCATCGCGAAGCGCCGCGGTCTTCTTTGATTTTTTCGTGCGCTTCGACGGCGTCGGCTTCGCGGCCGCGCGCGCGTCGTCGTCGTCGTCGTCGTCGCCGCCGCCGCCGCCGTTCCTTCCGCAGACGCGCGCGACGAGCTCGGACGCGAGCTCGACGCGCGCTCGGAGGTCTTTCGCCGGACGAAGCACCGCGCGGCCGAGCTCGCGGAACGATCCGAGTATCCCGCCGCCGCCGCCGCCGCCGCCGCCGCCGCCCGGCGCCGGTAACTCGGCGAGCGCCTCCGCCGTGGCGACGATCGCGTCGACGGTCCCCACGAACGCGCGCAGATCCCTTCCGCGCGGGGACCAGAACGCGACCGCGGCCTCGCCCACGCGATCGCCGTCCTCCTCGGAATCCTGCGTCTCCTCGAAGAGACGCGCGCGCCCGCCGCGTCGACCCGCCGCCGCCGCCGCCGCCGCCGCCGCGCCCGCGCCCGCGACGACGGCCGCGACGTCGCTCGGCGGCGCCGCGCCGTGCGCGAGCGCAGCCTCGGATGCGCGCGCGCACGCGTCGTCGAGCGCGACCGCGCGCGCGGTGCCCCTCTGCGCGTCGCACGGGATCGCCCGCAGCGCGCGTCGAACGCCTTCGAGAATCGTCGCCGAGCCCCCCGCGCCACCGCCGCGATGATGATGACAGCACAACGCGTCCAGCGCGTCCAACCGCCGAGCGATCTCCTGCGCGTCGCTCAGCGGCGCGAGGATCCACTCCCTGAGCCGCCGCCGCCCGGGGCGCGTCACCGTGTCGTCGAGGAACGCGAGGAGCGACCCGACCGACGCGTCGTCGCCGCCGCCGCCGCCGCCGCCGCCGCCGTCGCCGCGGACGAGATGCAAAGACGCCGCCGTCGCCGCGTCCACTCGAACGTTCGCGGCGTCGTCCGGGTCGTACGTCGCGCGCATCCCCATCGCCGCGAGCGCGGCCGCCGCGGAAGGAGGATCCGAGGCGTAGTCGTCGTACGCGTCGTCGCCAGTACCTGTAGTCTCCGAGGGCGGCGGCGGCGCCTCGCCGTCGCCGATCACGAGCCTCCGGAACGTACCCTGAGGGTCGTTCCATACAAAAAAAGTTCACCGGTCAGTTGAAAGGGGACGCGATCAAATGTTGAAACCGAACGATGGGTGAGAACTTTTGTGAACGCACCTGACACAACACCGCGGGCGCGCACCCGGCCCACGCGCAGTGTCGCACCGCGTACGCGAGCGACTCCATCGCGACCGGCGACGCGTCCCTCAGCGCGCGCGGGAGTCGGAGCTCGCCGCCGTCGCCCTCGCCGCCGTCGCCGCGCTCGATCCCGCCGAAGTGCGCCACCGCGGCGAGCGTGTCCTCCCGCGTAAATTCCGGCGGCGCGCCGTCGCCGCGTTCGACGCGTCGAAACGCGCACGCGTCTCTTCGCTCGCGGCCGTGCTTCGTCAGCGCGGCGAGCGTCGCGTCGCTCGCCTTCCCGCGCCGCCGCGTCACGGAGACGATCACCTCGCGCGGTTCCACGCGCGCGAGGAGCGCGGCGAGGACGTCGCGCGACGGCCCGTCGACGAACGACCCGAGGATGATCTCTCCGACGGCGGCGTCGATCATCGTGACGCCGATCTGAACGTCGCCGTCGCCGTCCTCGTCGTCTTCCGGCGGCCACGGCGCCTCCGCGAGCGCGAGCAGGTACGACGCGGCGTCGTCCCGCAGCAGCCCGCGATCCAGCGCGGGGGTGAGAATCTCCGTGACTTCCCGCCGGATGATCCCGCCGCGGTCGGCGTCCTTCTCGTCCGTCTCCTCGACGCGCGCGACGGCCCACCCCCTCGCAAGCACCTTCCTCGCCCACGCGTCGAAGACTTCGTGATGACACCCGACTTTTTGCATGAACGCGCACGCTTTACCGCTGATGTTTAACCCCACGTCGATCCCGACGTCGGAGTCGACGTCGAACATGTTGTAGAACGTGCCGTGGCGGCACATTACGACGACGTCCATGAGCGCGCGCTTAGGGTCGTTCCATACGAGCGAACGTCGGGGTGGAGTTGAAAGGCGTCAGCTGGAGTTGAAAGGCGTCGCGGGCGGGGATTGAAAGCGAGGGACCCTGGGCGGAGAGAGACGACGGGAAAAGTCCTTAAGGATCGGCGTTCACCACGCGAACGCGGTCGTATGGGGACCAGTGTGTAGAACGCACCTTAGTCTCCCAAAATTGCCGCGTGAAGTTCGGAAGCGCGCTCAGCTCGCGGTCGGAGACGGTCAACGTCGCCGGGTCGTGCGCCCTCGCGAGTCGAAGCGCGTCGCGGAGCTCGGGGGACGTCGGCGTCGCGGGGCGCGGGTTCCCGGCGGCGTCGCGCGGGCGAAGAAGCCACGACGGGCGCGTCTTGGAGGAGGACGCAGAGGGCGCGCCTCTGCCGTCGTCGAACGCGGCTGCGAGCGCAGTGGCGAACCGTCGGTTCCGCGTCGGTGACGACTGCGGCGGGGAGAATAAGACCGGCGCCGGCGCCGGGAACACGTCGACGTCGCGCATGGCCGGCGACGGCGGGGAAGGAGGGCGGTCGCGCGGCGACGCCGTCGCGGGTGGCCGCGGCGGCGGGACGCGCAGCTGTCGCGGCGGCGGCCGCGGCGGCGGGACGCACAGCTGTCGCGGCGGAGACGGCGGCGGCGGTGGCGGGAGTCGCGTCTGCGTCTGCGTCAGCGCTTGGCGCGCGCGCGACGTCTCCGCGGCGGTCGCCGCGGGACGCGCGAAGGGCGCGGCGTCGGCGCGCGGCGGCGCGGTCGCGTTCGCGTTCGCCGCCGCGGCCGCCGTGGGTAAGGTCACGAGAGGACGAGGCGGCGTGATGAGACGGGTGAAGACGACGGTTCGCGGGCGCGATTGCGATGGCGCAGATCTGGGGACCGCCTTACCTCGTCGTCGCAGCGCTTCCTCGCGCTTCGCCGCGATGCGCGCGCGCTGCTCGTCCGTTAACCCTCCGGGTGGACGCGGCGGCGCGTTTTCGTTCCTCGCGACGCCGTCCCCTCCCGCGGCGTTGGCGTTCGTCCGTGGGGGCTCTTGGAACGCGCGATGGTGAGATCTCGAACCGGCGTTTCGTTCCGACCCCCCCAGCAGCCACGCCTCCGTCGCGGCCCACTCGCACTCGCGCGACGGCGGCGGCGCGCGGCCGCGGGCGCGATCGTCGCCGTCCCACATCGCGCGGCGAGACGCGGCGCGGGACTTCGCTGGCGCGTGGACGCGCGCGCGTCGATTGTGCGATCCGACGAAAACGTCTTTGATTCTCCGAGAGACGGCCTCTGCTCTCTCTTCCCGTCACTTCGCTTCGCCGCGCACCGGCGCACGGCCGCCTCGCGCGATGGCGATGCGCGTCGCACTCGCGCTTCGCGCGGCGGTCTTCGCGCCGTCGCGACGCCGCCGCGAACGCGACCCCGCGTCGTGCGCCGTGCGCGCGCGCGGCCGCGGCGTCGCGACGACCACGACGTTGCAGGCGTTGCCGTCGCTGTCGCTGTCGTCGTCGTCGTCGTCGTCGTCGTGCCGTTTCCCTCTCGCGGCGCGGCTTCATCGCGGATGGGTCGTCGCGGCGGCACGCGGTCGCGGATCCGGTCGTGGAGATGGCCGCGGCGGTCGCGGAAGGCGCGGGGGTGGCGGTGCTCGCGGGGGTCGCGGCGGGCTCAGTCCTGAAAAGTTCGCGGAGGCTCGCAAACTGAACGGGGAGCTCGTCGCGTCCCGTAGCGCGGCGAAGCTGCTCGCGATCGTCGCCGAGCGAGGAGGCGATTTCAACGAAGTGAACGTCGCGACCGCGGTGAACAAGCTCTGGAAGGTCGCGAATTCGCGTGATAACCTGAGCGGGGACCCGAGGTACGCGCGTCTGCTCGAGCTCGTGCGGCGGCGGTGTCGCGCGTTTCGTGCGCAAGCGGTCGCGAACGTAATCCACGGCCTCGGCGTTTTGTGCGCGGACAAAGGCGCCGGCGACGTCGACGCGGAGACGGCGGGGGAGCTGATGCTGGCGGTGGAGAAGAACGCGGGTGAGCTCAAGGCGCAAGAGGTCGCAAATGTCTACAACGGCCTAACGAAGCTCCCCGCGGCGGTGGGGGCCATGTCTCCGGAGCGTTGGAGACACCTCTCTGAGGCGGCGTCGCGCCTCGCGCCGGAGATAAACAGCCAGAACATCGCGAACGTGCTCAACGCGCTCGGGAAGATCGACGCCGCTGAACGAGAGGTTTCATCGGGAGCGGGATGGTCGCGCTTGATCGGAGCCGCGGAAGCACTGGCGCCGGAGATGAACAGCCAGGGCATCGCGAACGTGCTGAACGCGCTCGGGAAGATCGCCGCCGCCGCCGAGGTGGTCTCTTCGGGGACGGGATGGTCGCGCTTGATCGGAGCGGCTGAGAGGCTGGCGCCGGAGATGAACTCCCAGGAGATCGCGAACACGCTCAACGCGCTCGGGAAGATGGCGGCGGCAGCGGAAAAGGTTTCGTCGGCGGGATGGTTGCGTTTCGCGTCGGCGGTCGAGCGTACCTCGGGTGCGATGAATGCGCAGGAGGTGTCGAACGTCGTCAACGCGTACGCGGAGATGCGCCGCGTGCCCGAAGCGCCCGAGTTGGTGAGCGCCGCCGGCTGGAGATCGCTCGCGGCGGCGGCCCGGAGAACGGCACCGGCGATGAAAAGTCAGGAACTCGCTCTGACGGTCGACGCCGCGAAGAAGCTCGACGCCTTCGCGATGACGATCGACGACGACGGGTGGGATCAGCTGGCGCGTCAGGTACCGCGCCTGGCTCGGGATTTCAACGCGCAAGCGATCGTTTTGGTGCTCTCCGCCGCCGGGTGGAAACTCGAGCTCTCGAAGGCGCTGGCGCTCGTCGACGGGGGGTGGGACGCGGTGATCGCGGGCGTGGAGCGGCACCTCGACGCGATCAAGAAGGGGTACCCGCCGGACTTGGGGAAGGAGGCTCGGAAGACGCGTCATGCTATAATGTTGATCTCCGAGCACGATGACGGCGCGTTCACGAACGAGCGCCTCGAACGCGTGCGCGCTGAGCTGGATGAGATGCTCCGCGCCGATCCGATCCAGTGGAAACGATACGAAGAAGACATTCGGCGCGTTCGATACTCCGCCGCCGCGAAGGCGCGCGCGACAGACGCGGGCGAGCCTAAGGCGTTTTAAAATGTTCTAGCTACGCGTCAACACGGCGACCACGCGCAAAAGCTCCCCTCGGCCACCTCGACCGGGATCGCCATGGTGATATCCGTGAACGGCAAGTACCCGTCCTCGAAGAAGTCTTGACTGAGATGGTTCTTCCTGCGGCCGCGCGGAAACTTTTGCACGTAAATCACCTCGCTCGTCTCGTCGTCGTCGTCGTCGTCGTCGTCGTCGTCGTTCGAGCGTCGCAACCGCCTCGCCGGGAAACACATCGCGTCCTCCCCCGGGCTCCACAGCGAGTGCGTGGCCGCGAACTGCTCGAACGCGGGAAGGCACCCGTCGAGAAACGTCGCGGACGGGGTGTGGAAAGACCCGCGCGTGATGCTCCCGTAGTAGTCCATGCGATCGGAAACCGGCGCGTCGCGGTCGCGTCGACGAGCCGCCGCGTCGAGTCCCTTCCGGGGCGGATCCCAGACGCACCACTGATGCGTCGCCCGCGAGGGCGCGCCCGCGTCGTCCGCGGAGTGCACGGACAACAAAAACAAGAGCCGCTCCCCGGACTTCGACCACTGCATCGCTTGCACGTGGCGCAAGAGCGGCGCCGCCGACGCGGCGCCTTCGAGGAATTCGAATTCCCCGAACCGACACGTCCGAAGGTCGAGCACCTTCAACGCCGTCGCCTCACCCGCGAGCCTGTCCGCCCCGCGCGGCTGCTTCGCCCACAGCGCGTCCTCGTCCGCCCAGCACACGATCCTCGCGCCGGGCGCGCAGCTCGTGATGAACTTCACCGCGGCGCGGTATTGATGATACACCGTCGGAGGCGTCAGCTCCGCGACGACGCGCGCGTCGAGCGCGCTCGCGTCGTTCAAGAGCGCAGCGCCGCTCGCGGCGGTGTTCGGCGCGGGGATCAGCGCGAGGTGCGCGGCGAAGGGGACGCGGTCGGGGAACGACACCGGGACGAGCCACCACCCGCGCGCGTCTTCGGTTTCGGTTTCGGTTTCGGTTTCGGTTTCGTCCGCGTCGTGACTGGTTCCCATACGACCGCGTTCGCGTGGTGAACGCCGTTCCTTAAGGACTTCGTCCTCGTCGCCGTCGCCGAAAAACCACGCGCCGCCGTCGCGCGCCGCCGGGCCGTCGCGCGCCGGTGGCACCCACTGCACGATGTGCGCCAGCCCGTCCACGATCGTCTCGTGCACCGTCTCGCGCGCGAACGCGGCGTCGACGCTCGCGGGCACCTTGCGACACGGTGGGATCGCGCGCGCGTGCGTCCTCTTCGCCGTCGGCCGCGTCGTCGTCGTCGGCGGCGGCGTCGAAAAAGTCTTCGCCAGCCGCGCGCGCTTCGCGTTGGCGCTTCGGTTCCCTCGATTCACCGGCGCGACGGTCTTCTTCCGTCGCTTCGCCGGCGGCATCGCGCCGCCCGCGCCGCCCCTCGTCGTCGCCGCCATCGCGGCGATTCCTATTCCACCGACGGTTCGCATCGCGGAGCTCATCGCCGCGCCGATCACTTCCAACGAATCGCTCGCGAGCTCGACGCCGCGGCGCCACCACAGCGACTTCACCGCGGAAGACACCTCCCCGGACGTGGGCGCGTCGTCGTCGTCGTCGTCGTCGTCGTCGTCGTCGTCGTCGTCGCGCACGCCGGAACTTTCTACGAACTGCGGTCGTCCGCCGCCGCCTCCGTTCGCGCCCGAAGCCGCGCCGCCGCCGCCGCCGTCGTCGTCGTCGTCGAACGCATCCTCCGTCATCGATACCAGCGGCTCCCGCGGCTTCCTGGACGTCCGCGCGACGCGAAAGCCGTCCTCGAACGTCAACACGTCGCCGCTGTCCGGCGCGAACGCGAACGAGAGCTCGCGCGCGGCCGTCATCAGCGCGATCGCCTCTCGCGCGTCGCCGCCGCTCGCGGCGCCGGCGGCGGCGCCCGCGCCGGGGTGTTTCCCGTACAGACTCGCGAGCGCGACGGAGAGGTCCAACGAGTGCAGCGCGACGCGCTCGCCGTCGGGCGTGACGTGCATGATCGCCAGGCGCGTCCCGCACGGCGCGAACGCGGCGAAGAGTGGCTTTTTGGTCGCGAGCGTGAGCTCGTTCTTGACCGGCAGCGGCGGCGGCGCGGCGGGAACCGCGCGCCTCGTCGTCGTCGTCGTCGTCGCTTTCGCCGCTTTCGCCGCGACGCCTCCTTCGTCGTCGTCCGCGCCGCCGCCGCCGCCGCCGCCGCCCGCGACCGCGCCGTTCCCCTGCCCTGCGGTGCTGTCCTCGTCCCCGGTCGGGCCGAACGCGCACTCGCCCCCGCGCTGCCTCCCCGTGCCGCCGCCGGAGAGACGCGGCCTAAACCAGGGTATAAAACCTTCCCCCGCGCCGCCGCCGTCGTCCTCCTCCTCCGCGCCGCCGTGCCCCCCTCTCAAATTCCTGACCCGGAGCGTCACCGGCGGCGCGGACACGACGACGACGCACCCGTCCGGGTGCTCCTGCACCCCCGCGAGGAGCTCGCCGTCGGGCGCCCAGCACGTCAGATGCTGGGTCGTTCCATACGAAGCGATGTCGGGGTGGGGTTGAAAGGCGTCAGATGGAGTTGAAAGGCGTCGATGGCGGGGATTGAAAGCGAGGGATGGGCGGAGAGACGCGCCGGGCAAAGTCCTTAAGGATCGGCGTTCACCACGCCAACGGGGTCGTATGGGGACCAGTGTGAGGAGAACGCACCGGCAACACCCTCGCCGAGGGATGCCCCGCGTCGCTCTCGTGCGCGACGTACGCTCTCCCGCCGCCGAGCACCGGGTCGCACGTGAGGATTCGCGACGCGTCCGCGACCGCGATGCGGTTCACGCCCCCGCGCGCCGCCGTCGCGTATCGCAGCACGTGCCGCCGCCACGCGTAGAGGTGGCGGAACGTGAAGTCTCGCGTCACGAGGTCGAGACGCGTCAGCGAAGGCGCGGACTCCTGCGCCTCCGCGAGGCGTCGCCACGTCGCGTGCGACCGCGTCGCCGCGCGCATGCGGCGGCAGGTCATCCCGAGGCGAGCGACGGCGACGCCGTCGAGTCGCGAGACGACGTCGTCGATCAGCGCGCGCGGGAGGAGGTCGAGGAGGTCGACGCCGTCCCTCGCGGTCGCGTCGACGTCGACGTCGATCTCATCGACCTTTCGAGTTCGACCTGTCGCGGTTCGATCCGACGCGCGTCCGCCGGGTCCTTCCTTGACCTTACCGTCGCGCGTCATCGCGTCTTCGAGGCGGCGCGCCGCGCGCGGACGCGGCGGCGGACTCCCGCGCGCGAACCCGCCCGCCGTGCGAGCGCTGCCGCGCGGATGAGCTCTGGGGAGGGGGGGCGTCTTAGTTCGAGGCACCAACAGAAAGTGCTGACGGACGACGAGACGTAGACGGCGCCTCCGAGCGACGACGAGACCGCGCCGGACGAAAGACTTCGCGCTCGAGCGAGCGGGCGGACGAAACGCGCGCGCGACGGACGTTTTCATATTTTCCATTTTTATTCAAAGATTTTCAAAGTTTTATGTCGTCGCTCTCGTCGCGACGCGCGCCCTCGCGTCCCCGGAGACGGCGGGCGCCGCGGCGATCGAACGAATGATCGAATCGAATCCGAACGAACGACCGACCGAGCGACCGATCACTTGCCCTGGTTCAGCAACGCGCCGCCGCCGCCGCCGCCGCCGCCGCTCTCCTTCCCGGGTCCGTCCTTCCCACCACCGACCGCGCCGCCCCTCGGCACCTGCGGCCGCACCTCGAGCTGGTCGTACTGCAGGTTAAAGTTATCCTTCCGCACGCGCTCCCAACTCGACGCGTCGAAAATCCAAAACGATCCCCGCTCGCCTCTGTCCGTCTTCATCACCGGCTCGGTGTTCGCGACGCGCATGAGCCACGCCTTGAGCTCCTTGTGATATCCCCACCCGCGCGCGATGAGCTCGTCCGCGGCGTACAGCTGCGCCTCGTCCCCGGGCATGCTGTAGAAGACGTAGAAGAGCGTCTCCTGCTGAAACTTTTGAAACACGCCCTGGTGCACGCGTTGGACGTGGACGCCGTAACACGCGGGGAGCAACAGCTCGAGCTCCGGACGCGGCGGCGTGTCCGCCCACGGCGACCCGAACGTCTTGTGCAGCGGCTCCGGGGAGTTGAGGTTGAGCCCGAGCGTCGTGAGGTCCGTCCCGAGCGCGAGCGTCGTGAGGTCCGGGTCGGACATTCGGATCACGGAGAGCAACCCGAGGAGGCCGAAGCGATCGGGCGACCCGGCGGGCTTGGGGGGGGCGCCGCCTTTGCCGCCGTCGCCGCCGCCGCCGCCGCCGTCCGCGCGCGACGTCCCGAACGACAGCGAGTCGTACGACGACCCGCCGGAGCCGCCGCCGCCGGGTAAGGACGGGTAGGCGTTCCCGCCGAGGTTCATCCCGCCGCCGCCGCCGCCGCCGCCGCCGCCGAACGGCCCGCCGTCGTCGACGCCGTAGCCGCCGCCGCCGCCGCCGCCGCCGAGGTCGAGGCCCTTCACGAGCCCGCCGCCGGGCTGGAACACGCCGCCGTGGCCGCCCCGACCCATGGGCGGAAACGCGCCCATGACCTTATCGTCGGCGCCCTGAGGCTTCCCGCCGCCGCCGCCGCCGCCGGGCGCGCCGGGCAACGCGGGGAAATCCTCGTTTTGCATCGTAAACTCAGGATGCGGCTTCTGCTGCAGCGCCATGACGCCGTACCCGTCCGCGCTGCCCATGCCGTCCATCCCTCCGAAGATCCCGCCGCCGGGCTGGTACCCTCCGTTCCCCATCCCGCCGCCGCCGAACCCGCCCGGGCCGTTCGCGAACGCGTTCATGCCGCGCCCGCCGCCGCCGCCGCCGGGCGGCGGCCCCCCGAGGCTCGGAAACTCGGACATGTCGAACGGCGTCTGATCCTCGCGCATCCCTGATCCGCCCATCATCCCCATCCCCATCCCGCCCAGGCCGAGCCCGCCGCCGCCGCCGAACGCGTTCCCCATGGACCCGCCCATGGATCCGCCGCCGGGCTGCTTGTTGATCATCGCGAGCAGGTCCGGGCCGCCGCCGCCGCCGCCGCCCATCGCGCCGGACGGCCGCGGCACCGCCCCGGGGCCGCCGCCGCCGAAGACGCCCCCGCGCGCGCCCATGCCGCCGCCGGGACCGTTCACCATCCCGCCGCCATTACCGCCGCCGAGCCCGCCGCTCTGCGACCGCGCGAGGCCGTTCGGGTTGACGCCGCCGCCGCCGCCGCCTGCGTGGGTGAAGCGATCGGTCAGTCGAACGTCTTACCGGTCAAACGTTGAAAGGGAAGCGCGGGTGAAGAGTGACGACGGGAAAAGTCCTTAAGGATCGGCGTGCACCACGCGAACGGGGTCGTATGGAAAGCAGTCTCACCTCCGCCGCCGCCGCCGCCGAGCAGCGCGCCGCCGCTCGACGCGCGATCCAGCGATCCCCGCGCGGGGGACGCGCCGCCGAGGTTTAACCCGCCGCCGCCGCCGCCGCCGAACGGCCCTCCAGGGCCGACGCCCATGCCCATGCCGCCGGCGCCGCCGGGGGACATCGGCGGGAAGCCGCCGCCGCCGCCGCCGCGCGCGGGAGAGCCGGACGACGACTGCGCGCGGAATCCTCCGCCGCCGCCGCCGTACGCGCCGCCCGCGCCGGGGGGCATGTTCAGCGGGAACCCGCCCTGCTGCTGCTGCTGCTGCTGCTGTTGCTGCTGCGCGTACGTGTTCTGTCCGTTTAACATGTTGTTACCACCTCTGGTCCCCCCCCTCTCTCTCCTCTGAGACGCCTCCGTCGATCGACACGATGATTCTTCTTCCGCGATCGATCGTTTTCATTCAACCGGCGGGAAAAGTCCTTAAGGATCGGCGTGCACCACGCGAACGGGGTCGTATGGAAAGCAGTCTCACCTCCGCGATGGATGATGGCGATGGTTCGAGTCGCGGGGAGATTGGGGCCACGCGCGAGGACGCGTTCGCGTCGCGCGGTCGTCGGTGTTGACTGCGGGCGCGGGGGAAATGTGATCGGGGCGGTCGGGCGCGTCAGATCGCGGCGCGGAGAGGCGGTCGCGCGTCAGATCCCTAGCTCGGAGAGCGTTCGAACCGCGCTGGAGGGAGCGGTGGGAAAAAATAATGCCCGGCGTCGAAAAGGGCGCGACGGGAACGGCGCGACGGCGCGACCGCGATCGCGGACGAGCGCGGTTCGAGCGCGACGCGCGCGTGGAGGACCCGACGCGCGCGAAGGACGCGGAACCGCGGCGGAAGCGACCGCGGAAGCGACCGCGGCGGCGCGTTCCCGGGCGGGAATCCACCGCCGCGGGGTCGGAAGCCCACCGCGCGGGATTTTTCGGCGGTGCGCGAGGGGCGGGCGACGCACCCGCGCGACGCGAACGCGACGACGCCTTCGTCGCTTCGACGCTCGTGCGCGCCTGTCGCGCTCGTGAACGAGCTTTCTGCGTCGATGCGGGCTGGCCTAGCGACCACGACCACGCGTTATGGCCACGATTCCGGAGTCGCGCGAGGACGACTCAAACTCGCGGTGCACTCGGAACACACCCAGTTTTACGTACTACGCACTTTGTATGAGCAATTAGTATGTGCGCGAATACACAGTATCATATGGCACTCGTCTATCGCCCGGCTGGGTGGGCACAACTGCGTGATGAAAGGCGCGAAATCCGCGCCCAAGCGTCAGATCGCGCCCCGAGGTCGCCGCGACGGACGTCCCGCGCGATGTCCTCCTCGGAGTACGAGAACCTCATCCGCGTCGTGCGCACGGACGCGGACGCGCGCCGTCGGCTCGTCCTCAAGGCGTGCTTCCTCGCCGCGCTCGCGGAGCACGCGCCCGCCGTCGTGAAGCACCCGACGCGAGAGAAAAAGTGGCGGAAGGGCGACCTCGACGCGATCGCCGCGGGAACGCTCGCGCGCGTCAAGAACGACGGCCCGCGATCGGAGCTGCACTGCGTCGTGGGCGTGGACGACTTCAACGCCAACCTGCGGTACGCGAAAGGTTCGCTCGTGTACCTGCGAGCGGAGACGAAGCCGCCGCTGCGCGTGTTACTGTACGCGTCGCTGCCTCCGCCGACGCGCGCGGAGACGCCCCCGCCGACGGTGGCGTCGGGCGGCGGCGCGAACGACGCCGCGGAGAGGGAGAAGAGGGCGGCGGCGGCGAACGCGGCGGCGGCGAACGGCGTGAAGATCGTGGACGCCGGCGCGGCGACGGAGGAGACGCTCGCGCTCATCGTCGCCGCGTTGTCGTCGGAGCCGCCGCCGTCGACGGCGGAGGCTGGGGAGGAAAAGATCGCGACGTGGGCGTCGTCCAAGGCGCGCGACGCGCTGACGTTCGCGCACGGCGCGTTCTGGCACGTCGTGCACGACCAGCACGTCTTCGGCGCGGCGGTCAGGGCGACGGGGGCGGGCGGGGGGGAGGATAACGATAACGCCAAAGGCGGGGGCGTTTCGACGGACGCGGACCCGGGGCTCAGAGTCGTCGCGAGACGAGGGAAGCACGCGTTCACGATCTGGCACCACAACGCGACGCCGCGGACGTATTTACAGATCGCCATCGCGTCCGTGGAGTGGATGTCCGTGTTCAAGTCCGCTCGGTTCATGTTCGTGTTCGTCGTCGCCGTGTACGGGGTGTGGTACAACAAGTTCTGCGCCGAGGACGAAGTCAACGGCGGCGCCAGGGCGGCGACGTGGAACGAGATTCGAAAAAACACCGGCACCGCGGGGTGGGAAGAGTTCGTGAACAACTCGCCGCTGAGCGCGCTCGACGGCGCGATCGCGCACTGGGGGTGTAAGGCCGGGCCGAGCCTCGCGCCGGCGGCGGTGTTGGTTCTGATGGGGATGGCGGCGAGCGGGAGCGGGTTCATGAACTCCATCGGCAGAGCCGCGGCGATGCGGATGAAACGGCGGAGCGCGGCGGCGGCGAAGAAGCGCGCGTGAGGTGTGCGTCGTATTTCAATCTCGTAACGTAACGTCGTCGTCTCGACCGTCATACCCACCCATATACCCTAATGCACAAACGCGCGAACGAATGAAAAAGAAGTCACGTTCCGCCTCTTCACGGCCTCGAACGCCGCCGCCGCGCCGCGCGTTCGCGGACGTATCCCACGAAACACTCCACCTTGGCGCGCAACGCTTCCTTCGCGACCTCGTCCGCGTCGAGATCGAGGTCGTCGTCGTACTCCACCACGAGCACCGGCGTCGTCTTCAGCGCCGCGACGCGGTCGTCGTCCACGAACGCGACGTCGTCGCGGATCGACGCCGGCGCCGCCGCCAACCCCTCGCCGCCGCCCTCGCCTTCCTCTCCTCTCCGCACCCCACCGATCCCCTCCCTCCCTCCCGGCAAGAACCACCCCTCGTGCTTCTCGTGCAGCGTGGTCAGGTACTCGAGCGACACCCCGGTCTCCTCCCCGCGCGCGCGTCGTCTCAGCCGTCGATGACACGTCTCCGGCGACGTCCGCAGGTACACGAATCCCTCCGGCTTCAGATTCGGACACGCCGCCACCATCGGGTCGTACCACGCGTTGAACAGCGACAACTCCAGGTCCGACATCCACCCGGACTCGTGCACGGACTCCACGAAGATCATGCGATCGCTGAAGACGCTGCGCTCCATGATTCGCAGCGGCTCCGGGTGCGATCGCGGGTCTCGCGACGCCGCCTCTTGAAGAAATCGAGTCATGAAGACGTAGTTTTGAAACGTGTACGCGTACCTCGGCGGATCCGCGTAGAACGCGTCCAGGATGTTGAACGGCTCGCCGTCCGCGGGCGGTTCCCTGCTCTCCGCCGCGGGGCGCACGTTTTGCCACTGATCCACGGGCTCGAGGAGGACGTCCGTCCCCGCGGCGCGAAGCGACGCGCTGCCGCGGACGATGTTCGTCAGAAACGTGCTCTTTCCCGCGCTGATGTTGCCCTCCACGCAGAGCGTCACGCGGTCGCCCCTGGGCGCGTCCACGTCCACGGCGGGTCGGGAGGACGAGGACGACGACGGGGAGGAGAAGGAGGAGGAGGAGGAGGAGGAGGCGAACGTCGCGATCGGCGTCCTCCTCGCGGACCGCGCGGATCTGACGACGAGACGCCCGCCCTCGCGAACGCCGCCGAACGCGCCTCGGCGCGCGATCGCGTCCACCGGGGACAGGCTCCGCGTGCTCGCGGACCACGCGCGCGAAGCCGCGCGCGGGAGCATGCCACCGCGGCGGTCCGAGTCGTCGTCGGTCGTCGAGGTCGCCTCCGAGGCGCCCGCGCGGGGGGAGTGACGACGTCGCGCGGTCGAGGCGATTCGTGCGACAGCTCGGCAGTCCCGTTTTGAGCCGCTGCCGGTTTTTCACCCGTCCCTCGGTTTCAACATTTGATCGCGTTCCCTTTCAACTGACCGATGATCTTTTTCGTACTGTACGGAATGGCCGGCGTTGTGATGATTGCGAGCTCGCGGCACGCCAGCGCCAACTGGCAGTCGAGATACGCGCGGAGGGTGACCACGCACGCTCCGCCCACGTCCGCCGCGATGGTCGCCCCGTGCGCCGCCGCTTCCCGCGCGGCGATGTCGTTCACATCCCGCGCGAAGGGCTCCTCCGCGCGGAGGGCCCTCTCCGCGCGCGCCTCCCCAAACGCGCGCGTCGCGTCGCCGCGCGGCGCCGTCGCCGTCCGCGCGGCGGTGAACGCCGAGACGGACACGATCCTCGTCCTCGGTTGCAAAGGCGCGTTCTATACACTGGTCCCCATACGACCCCGTCGCCGTGGTGAACGCCGATCCTTAAGGACTTTTCCCGTCGTCTCTCTCCGCCCAGGGTCCCTCGCTTTCAATCCCGACACACCTCGACGCCTTTCAGCTCCAACTGACGCCTTCGTTTGAACTCCACCCCGACATCGCTTTATTGTATGGAACGACCCAAAGAGCGCGTCGCGCAGTGCGTCGCGGACCAGCTCTCGAAGAACGAGCGAAGCGCGGGCACCAAGGTGCGCGTCTGCCTCCCTCGCTCGTGCTACGAGGGCGTGAAGAACCCGCTCGACGCGATGGCGAAAGAGCTCGTGTACCCGGATCGACCGATGATCGAGTGTCTCTCCGCGCTGGAAGACGTAGAGTGCGTCGACATGGGCGCGGGCGGTTCATCCGGCGGCGCGTACGACGCCGCGAGGCGAGACGCGACGCACGTCGTCATCGCGAACGAGTACGCGCCCGACCTCCTCGAGTCCGTGGAGACGTTCATCGCGGACGTGCGCGCGGGGAAGTGCCCGAGGCTGAAAAGGCTCGTGGTGATGACGCACATCGGCGTCGAGAGGAGAGACGTCGACCCGTTCAAGTTTATGAACCGCGCGACGCGCGTCGGGACGGGGATCATCGGGCAGAAGTCGAAGCCCGGGGGCGCGCCGCTCGACCGGTGGCACGACGCGGAGGAGCTCGTTCGAGCCGCGGTCCCGAGAGAGAAGGACGCGGCGGCGGCGGCGGGCGCGTGGACGTACACGATCATTCGCGTCGGCGATCTGCGAGGCAACGGGCCGACGTCGGTGACCTACGGCGACGCGATGTTGACGCTCGTCGACAACGCGTTCGACGTCCGAATGCAAGACATCGAGATCGAAGAGGGCGACCAGTTCGAGGGGTTCACGAAGCGGCAGTCCGTCGCCGCGGTGATGAACCGCATGCTGACGACGACGCAGTTTAAGGTGCAGAACAACGAGTACAGCGTCATCTCCACGGGGCCCGTGGACCGCGAGCGGAGGAAAGGGTGGGACGTCGCGCGAGGGCGAAGCCCGCCGCCGATCGAGGATAAGGTCGTGGACGAGGAGTTGCAGGGGAAGGAGGAGGAGGAGGCCGTCCCCGAGGGCGCGGCCGTGCCGACGTGATCGGTTTCATTAATCACGTCGAGTGAGCTCGATTAAGGTTACAGTATGTATTACGGCGCGGCGCGCCAAAGTCGAAAAATTCGTCGTCACGCCTCGGCTTCTTCTTCTTCCCGCTTCTTCTTCTTCGCCGCATCCGCCGCCGCCGCGGCTTCCGCCTCGGCGAGGATCCGCTCCTGCTCTTGCACGGCCGCCTTCCTCGCCTCCACCGGGAGCTGCTCGTCCTCGTCCGACAGGTTATCCAGCACCCCGTCGTCGGCGTCCTCGCCGCCCAGAAACGCGCGGTTCTTTCGCAGCATCTCGACGAGCTCCTCCTCCTCCTCCGCGCTCATCTTCGACCCGTCCGCGCGCTTGCTCCCGGGCTCCGTCCGCGCGAGCATCGCCGCGAGCGTCGCCGGGTCCGCCCCGGGTTTCGCCGCGCCGTCCACGTCGAAGAAGAACCCGCCGTCGCCGTCGCCGTCGCCGTCGCCGCCGAGTCGAACGCCGCCGATCACGTCCGACAACACCTCCCGCGTCGCCGCCCACGCCTCCAACGCGTCCCGCCACAGCTGCGTGGGTGAAGCGATCGGTCAGTCGAACGTCTTACCGGTCAAACGTTGAAAGGGAAGCGCGGGTGAAGAGTGACGACGGGAAAAGTCCTTAAGGAACGGCGTGCACCACGCGAACGGGGTCGTATGGGAAGCAGTCTCACCTCCCCCTTCGCCGCACAAAGCTCGACGCTCGACGCGCGCGCGTCCGACACGTTCACCTTCCCCGCGGGGAGCTGCATCGACAGCGTCGTCGGGCACGGCGCTCTCCCGGCGAACCGCGCGAGGTCCTCCGCCTTTCGGACGTCGCCGCCGACGCGCGCGATCAACGCCGCCGCGCGAATAACCTTCAACAACGCCACATAGGCGTCCACGTGTTCGAGCTCCTCCGCGTCGTCGTCGACGTCGTCGTCCTCGTATCCGTCTTCATTCTCGTCGTCTTCCATGATATTCCAGTCGTCGTTCGGAGGGAGCAGCGCGCGCTCGTAGGACATGATGACGTCGCGGAGGGACGCGTCCGGTCGCAGCGCCTCGTAGTCGGCGGCGGCGAGGCGAGGGTCCGCGATGAACGGCGGGAGCAACGCGGGGCCCGCGGCTTCGTCGGCGCCGGCGGAGGTCGCGAGCGCGGCGAACGGGCCGTGCGTCGACGACGCTTCCTGCGATGAAGAGAGAGCGCGCGAGGGATGGATGGATGAACGGACGGAGAGCGTCAGCGAGGAGAGGGAGGAAAGATGGACGGACGGCGGAGGGCCGAGCCGCGCCGCGCTCCGGGTGAAGAATGTAGCCCCCAGGCACAACGGAAGAAGACTTATTTTTGTTCACTTCAGCCGATGTTTGTAGAGGGAAGGCTCCGCAGTGTTTCGCGGAGGTGTCCTAAATAAAATCCAACGTTCGTGTCGCGCTTTTGGAAAGACCGCGTTCTCGCATGGAAACGCAAGACGCGGGGGTAAGAGCGCTTGCGGTCGGGCGCCGCGAAAAAAAAAAAAAAAAAAAAAAACCTTCGACCGAAAAAAAACACGAAAACGATCCGTCGTCGAGAAAGCGCGGACGGAGGGACCGCGCGCTCACCTTAGCCTCGAACGCCTCGTCGAACCCTCCCAACCCGAGCGCGGCTTCGAACAAGCACAGATCGTTCACGCCGTAGACGCCGACGACCTTCTTCTTCGACGGCTTCTTCTTCTTTTCGCCGCCGCCGCCGCCGCCCGCCGCGTCCGCGTCCGTCGCTTCCTCTCCGTCGCCGCCGCCGACGTCGTCCGGAATCGTCTTCGCGAGCTCGCGCAACAGAAACCATCTCACGTCGCCGCACAGCGTCGCCGCGTCGTGCCCCGCGACCACGCTCAGATCCCTCCGCGGGCGGCGATCCTTCGGCGTCGCGCGACGAAACGCGTGCCGCGCCATCACGACTCTGCTCGCGCACGCCGCCGCCCGCTTCGCCGCCTTGGTCATCTTATTCGGCTTCGTCGGCTTCTTCGGTTTCCCCGGGTTCGGGTTCCTCAGGGTTTCGAACTCGATCGCCTCGCGTCGGCGCTCCGACGCCAACGCCGCGACCGACTCGAGGACGGCGCTGAGACGCTCGAGCGTCGCCGCGTCAGGCAGCTCCGGCGGCGTCGCCCTCGCGCCGGCGACGAATCTCGCCGTCGTCGCCGCCGCCACCTCCGCCGCCGACTCCAGCCCGTCCGCGCGGATCGCCTCCACCTCGAGCAGCTCTCTCTCGTCCAGTTTCTCGAGCCGCGGAACCCCCGGGACGGTCAGCGCGTCCACGCGCGGGTCGAACGACGCGCGGTCGACCCGCGCGGCGGTCTCCTCGGTCAACTCCGCGAGCGTCATGTCGTCGTAATCCGTTCGCTTCTTCCTCCTCAACGCGTGAAACGCGTCGTCGTCCGGGCCGCCGTACTCGCCCCGACCGGGCTCGTCCTCCGGTGTCGGGTTCGTCGTCTTCCGCGCGACGATCGCGGCGAACGCGTCGATGTCCGCGAGGAGCGTCTCTCGGAGTTTTCCCTCGGGCAGATTCTCCGCCGTCGTCTTCGTCGCGTCGACGATCGATTCGACGTCCCACGGCTTCCCGGAGCGCTCGGACGCGTCGCGGAGGTGCACCGCGATCTTCCCGGCGAACTTCTCCGCGTCCTCGCGCGCTTTTTTCGTCTTCGCGGCGGTCGAGGCGTCGTCCGCGGCGGCGGCGGCGGCCGCGGGGCGCTTCTTCGGCGGCGGCATCTATCTAGACTAACGAAACGAGGCGACGGGATCGAATCTCGCGGGGCGCCCGTCGACGCTCAGTTGTTGCGCCCGCTGACTCTCCCGGAGCGCTTGTTCTTCTTCAGTTGCTTCGACTGCGAGCGCGCGGGGGGGGGAGGAGGAGGAACGCGTCGTCGGCGATATATCGACGCGGAGGAGGAAAGGACGCGCGGGGATCGGTCCGCGGAGGATGGGGGTTCGCGAAATCGGTGGGCGGCTGGCGGCGGCTGGCGATTCGATTCGAGTCGATTCATCTGACTCGTCGTCGATTCCTTCCTCGCGTCGAGCCGCGGTTCGAGGCGGCCGTCGACGCGACGCACCTTGGCGAGGATCTTCTTGTGCTCCGGGTTCGCCGGGTTCCGTAGTCCTCGTCCGCCCTTGCGGTTCGCGAGCTTCTGCGCCACCTTCTTCTTCTTACCCAGCGCCTGCTTCTTCGAAGCGCTCTTCTCCTTGTCGATCTTCTTCGCCGCCTGCTTCAGGTTGAGGACGGACCACGACGGCTTGTTCTGAGGGACGTAGTACTTCTGCTTGTGGCAGTCGTAGTTCTTCAGCTTGCCCATGGAGGTGCGGGCGAGGTGGGCGCGCGGTGCGAGCGCGTGCGGCGTGTGGCGGGAAGAGCGAGAGCGCGCGGGAGAACGAGACGAGACGCGGCGCGGCTTCTGTGGAGTTTTCGATCATCCTGGGTTGGGAATTTATTTTCGCGAGAAGGAAACTTTTCGCCGCCGGCGCGCACTCGTGAGATGATTATCGGCTCCTCTCTTACGTACTACAATAGGTGCACCCGTCGATCGAGGACGTCGGACGCCGCCGACTCCCGACCGCCGCCGCTCGTCTCCGCCGCCACCCGGAGACCTCCGTCCGCCGCGCCGCGCGAGAAGACCTCTCCGTCGCTTCTTCTCGCGAACCTCGCGCCTCACGAATTCATCGTCAGTAGGTAGGCCTAGCCTCCTCAGCTACTTTGGACGATGGAACGACGCGGACGTTTACAGGCCGAACACCGGGGGGAAGGACCCGGGGGCCTTGGACGCGCACACCTTGCCGTCGCGCGTCCCCTCGCACTCGATGTCCTTGTCGTCGGAGAGGAACGCGACGCCGCCGTTGCTGGACGCGATCTCGCAGCCGAAGAAGTTCTTCGGGAACTCGCACACGCCGTCCGTCACCGTGCGGGACCGCTCGAAGTTCGCGGAGGACGTCAGCGCGCGCTTCTTGTCGTTGAGCTCCTTGTTCGCCTCGGAGCGCGCGAGGAGGTCCGACGTGAGGTCCGCCTTGGCGGGGAAAACCGGGGCGGTCGCGATCACCGCGGCGAGCGCGATCGCGGCCGCCTTCTTGTTGTCGAACGCCATGCACACGGCGCCGGACGCCTTGGAGGACGCCTTGGGGGCGACGCGGGCCTTGAGGCCGGGGCTGACCTTGGAGGACAGCGCCTGTTTGTTTCGAGTTGGATGGTTCGGGCGCGTCAGTCGTCGCGCGCTCGAGTCTGGCGGCGATCGATCGCGGAGCGGGCGGGGCGAGCGCGCGACGCGTCCCGCGGATCGGACGCGGCGACGCGCGCGACGCGCGCGGACGCGGGACGGCGGCGCGACGCGCCGCCGCGCCGTCGTCGTCTGCGAATCTTTTTCGTCGTCCGCGCTGGCGAGCGGACGAGGAGAAGAAACCCGCGCCCGCCGCTCGCGCGAGGGCGGGGCGCGTCGCCGCGCGCGGGCGCGATGCGATCGCGCGCGTTCGATGCGAGCGGGAGCGCACCGTGGTGAAGACGGTCATGGCGGCCATGTTTGATGCGTGAGCTTACGGTGCGAAGCGTGCGGGTGCGGGTATGAGCGCGGCGCGGCTGGGCGATGGAGGCTTGCAGGATATCTCACCGGCCAATCAAAAGCCCGCAGCTTGCTTGGAGTCGTCGCGGCACAGCGAAGCAGTTAGCGAGTAGTTCATCGGCGTACGTACTACGCTCTCGCGAGGCCCGCCTTCAAAACGTGTCCGACGATGTCACGAGGCTCGCATCTCGCATCGCGCCGCGCCGCGCCGCGCCGCGCCGCGCCGCGTCGACGCGCGCGATGTCGTCGTCGCCGTCGCCGCGGACGCCGCTCCCGCGCGCGGCGGGCGACCCCCTCGACCCCCTCGACGCCGACGCCGACGCCGAAGCGCGGCGCGCGAGTCTCCCGCTGCGAACGACCCTCGAGATCTGCGCGTACGCGCACAACCTTCAGAACCTCGACCTGCTGTCGCGGGGATGGTACGCGCTGCGCGCGTCGTGCGAGATCGACGGCGCGCCGTGCGTCGCGAGGGAGGTGGTGGTCGTCGCGCTGAACCTCGCGACGCGCGCGGAGTGCGTCGCGGAGACGGACGACCTGGACTGGCGCCTGGACGGAGGAGGCGACGACGACGAGCGCGAGCGCGAGCGCGAGCGCGAGCGCTTTCGCGGCGGGCGCGGCGGAGGCGCGAGCGACAAGTACAAGACCGGGAGAGACGACGACGACGACGAGCCGGACGAAGACGAGCCCTCCTCCTCCTCCTCCTCCTCCTCCCGCGCGGCGACGTCGTACACCTACACCACGCGCGCGTTCAAGGTGATGTACGCGTGCGAGGCGTTCCCCGTGGAGCATCTCGTGCGCTTCACCGCGTCGGTCCCGTCGACGGTCGATCCCGCCTCGGTCGCCGCGACGATCCGATTCCAACTCCTGCATCTCCCGCTCAAGGACGATACCGGGGATAATAAGCGAGGAGGAGGATACGAACCGCCGCCGACGCGGCGGAGGCTCTTCGAGAGCGCGAGCGCGGTCGTCGCGACGCAGGAGATCACGATCGCGTCGGACGCGTTGACGAAGAGCGGCGGCGCGCACGAATACTTCCCCGTCCACTTCGACGCGCTGCACCTGACGCTGTGCGACGTGACGATACACGCGTGCGCCGTCGGCGTCGAAACGCGCGAAGACGACGACGCGGAGGACGAGGAGAGGGGCACGATGACGAAGAAGAAGAAGAAGAAGACGAAGAGCAGAGGGTTCGGGTTGGGGTGCGGCGCCGGATGCGGCGGCGGCGCGTCCGACGCGAAAGCGCCGCGGAGGGCGCCGAAGCGCGCGGGCGCGTCGACGGGTCCGACGGGTCGCGCGCACGCGGTCGCCGCCGCGCTCGCGGCGACGTCGGACGCGTCGCTGCCGCCGCCGTACCGCGGCACGTGGCTCGGCGACGCGCTCGTGCGCGGCGAGAGCGTCGCGGAGAAGCTGGCGGTGTTGTACGCGCGTTGTACGGCGCCGCTGATTGCGGCGGCGTATTCGGCGGCCGCCGCCGCCGCGCGCGCCAAGTCGGCAAGCGGCGGGCTCGCGCTCGGCGGCGACGACGGCGGAGGATCGGCTTTTGACGCCGTCGCGGGCGCCGCCGTCGCCGATCCTCGCGAGTGGGCGACCGAGGTGGCGCGCGCGTGCGACGGCGACTTCGAGCGATGCGGCGCCGCGCTGAGCGACGCGACGGCGGCGGCGGCGGCGGCGGCGGACGAGCGTTGGCGCGCGTTCGTCTCCGCCGTCGAGGAAGGCGGCGCGGGGAGAGGCCTCGGCGGGGCGTGGATCTTAGCGCCGCTGCGGGCGGCGTGGGAGGAAGCGAGGGAAGCGGAGTGGGCGCCGTGGACGGTGCGATCGCGCGCGGCGGCGCCCGCGAGGGAGCTCGCGGCGTTGGAGGGCGGCGGAGGCGGCGGCGGGGGAGGCGGCAGCGGCGGGAGAAACGCGAAGAAGGCGGAGGCGTCCCGGTCGCCCGTCGTGACGAAGCTCTCTTCGCTCTCTTCGCTCGCCGCCGCCGCCGACGATGACGACGACGCGATCACCGCGATGGCGTCCGCGCGAGCGGCGGCGATCGAGGTCGGTCGACGCCGGAGAGAGATGAAATCGCGCGGCGGCGCGTTCGTCGTCGACGGCGCCGCGCGTCTGTTCGACTCCGCGCTGCACGTCAAACCGGAGACGGTGACGATGATCTCGACGGAGGAGAGCATCGCGATCGCGCCGCCGCCGTCGCCGCCGCGGTCGTCGTCCGATCGTGTACTTACTCCGCGCGAGAGCTCGAACCTCGACGTGCATCTGACGCCGGCGAGAGCGTCCGCCGACCCCGTCCCCGGCGGCGCCGCGTTGAATCGCCGGCGCAGCCTCTCGTCGCGTCGTTGCGAACCGACGGACGACCCGGAGGTGGCGCGAGCGATCGCGCGCGCGCTGTCGATGTCGAAATCGAACATGGGCGAGCACATGGTCGTCCTCGTCCACGGATTCGCGGGATCGTTGCAGGACTTGCGTCTCGTCCGAGCGCACTTGAGGCGCGTTCTGTTCTCGCGCAGGTCCCCGCGCGCCTTTCCTCGACGACGGACTTTCTCTCCCGTCGCGGCGCCTCTGTCCACCCTCCCATCGCTTTCAACGCTCGACCGCGACGCCTTTCAACGAACGACTCCATCTGACATTTCTTTCGCCTTTGAACTCTGCCCCGACCCTCGCTCGTCAGGCTCGTCGCGCCCAACGCGCACACGCACGTGAGCGTCGTGAACCACGAGAAGACGATGGAATCCATCGCGACCATGGGCGCGCGGCTCGCGGAGGAGGTCTCGCAGGTCATGGCCGAGCTCGAGGCCGGCGAGCTCACGCCGAGGGGCGGCGGGCGGACGCCGAGGAGCGCGGCGGCGGCGGCGGCGGAGGCGGCGGGACGCGGCGCCGCGCCTCCGCGGCTGTCCTTCGTGGGACACTCCATCGGGGCGTTGATCGTCCGCGCGTCGCTGACGCACCCGTCGATGTCGCCGTTTTTGACGCGGCTGAACACGTTCTTGAGCATCAGCGGGCCGCACTTGGGGTACCTCGGCGGCGTCGCCCCGAGCGCCGGGTTCAGCGTGTTCGAGACTGGGCTCAAGGTGTTGAGGGCGATCAAAGGGAAGCGCGCCGAGTCGTTGAGAGAGATCACGTTCGCGGATGCGAAGAAACGCGAGGACTGCTACCTGTACGAGCTCGCGCACGAGAAGAGAGGGTTGGGACTGTTCAAGCACGTGATGCTCGTGAGCAGCCCGCAGGATAAGTACGTTCCGCATCACAGCGCGAGGATACAGCCGCCGCCGGAGGAGGGCGGCGAAGGCGGCGGCGGAGGCGGAGGAAAAAAACGATCGAACAAGGCGACGACGCGAGAGATGGCGAGAGCGCTGCTGACGCCCGTGCTCTCGAAGGCGACCGGCGGCGGTGACACCCCTGGGGGCGACGACGACGACGACAAAATCACGACGCTGACGCGCGTGGACGTGCACTTCGCGCCGCCGGCGAAGCGGACGTTGAACCACGTCATCGGACGCAAGGCGCACATCGATTTTTTAGAGACTGACGAGTACGTCAAGTTCCTCCTCTGGTCGCACCGGGATAAGTTCGCGTGATCGCGACGACGACGCGACGGAGACGTCTGGTTAGTCAAGTAGTACAGTTACAGTACAAGTCTGTCGTCGTGAAGTCCCTCCGTCGTCGTACTAAGTTCTATCGCGAACCAGCGGAGGGAGAGCGCTCGCTCGCTCCTCCGTCCCGTCTCCGTCTCGTGGGTGAGACTGCTTCCCATACGACCCCGTTCGCGTTGTGAACTTCATTCCTTGAGGACTTTCCCCGCTTCGGTTCGAACGCGCGAGCCGCTCGTCCTCCGTCGTGTATACCCCCCAGGGTCGTCCCTCTCCCCCCCCCGTTCCCAAACGCGCCCGTTCGCGATGGTCGTGGTCGGTCGATCGATCGGCAGCGCGCGTCATCCGTCCGTCCGTCCGTCCGTCCGTCCGCCGCGCCGCGCCGCGCCGGTCCGCCGGTCTCATCACGCGCGGAGCATGGACGCGAACGACGCCGCGGCGGAACCCCATCCGCCCGCCGTCGCCGTCGCCGTCGCCGTCTTCTCCTCGACGTCCATCGCGTCGTCGTCCGCCGCCTCCGCGTCCTCGGCCCAGTCGTCCACCGCGACAGGCGCCTGCGCCGGCGCGGGAGGAGCCATCTTGACCGCGGCGAGCTTCGCCTTCGCCTTGATCTCCGCCGCGGCGGCGCGCACGGCGTTTTCTTTCGCGTCGAGCGCCGCCGCCGCCTTGGCGCGCGCGGCGTACGACGCGCCGCCGAGCGTAACGGACGCGTCGAGGACGTTATCCGGCGTCAGCACCGCGAACTCGTCCGACGCGGTGGACGACGTGTTCGACAGCGGCGTCTTGGTGGTCGTCGTGTTGACCTTCAGCGCCGGCTTCGGCGTCGCCGCGGGCGCGGGCGCGGGCGCGGGCTTCGCCGCCGCGGCTTTCGCCAACGCCGCCCACGACCCGGGCGGCGTCGTCGTCGCCGGCGCGAACATCCCGAGCCTCGACATCGCCGCCGCGGGCGCGGGCGTGTCCGCGGCGTTGGCGTTGTTTTGAGCGACCACGACGTTGCCGTTGATCCGCTCCGCGAGCGACGGGCGCGCGGGCGCGGTGATGGTCACCGCGCGGCTCCCCGGAGTCGCCCCCGCCGCATCCGCGGCGCCCGCCAGCTTGTTGGAGATGAGATCCGCCGCGGGCGTCTTCATCCCGACGACGCCGCCGCGGAAGCTCGGCGACCCCGCGAGCGACGTCGCGTTGCTGTTCGCGAGGCTCTTCGCGCGCTGCCGACGGCGGCACCGCTCGCGCTGCACCTCGCGCTCCTCCTCGAAGATGAAGTCCCAGTCCTCCTTGGCCACCTTAGGGTCGTTCCATACAAGCGAACGTCGGGGTGGAGTTGAAAGGCGTCAGTTGGAGTTGAAAGGCGTCGAGGTCGGGGATTGAAAGCGAGGGGTGGGCGGAGAGAGACGCCAGGAAAAGTCCTTAAGGATCGGCGTTCACCACGCGGACGCGGTCGTATGGGGACCAGTGTATAGAACGCGCCTTAGTCTTGAGCAACGCCCAGAAGACGCCGCCGGGGGTGCGTCGACGCGAGCCGTCCGCCGTCATCTGACCGCCGCCGCCTTCGATCGCGCCCACCTCGATCGCGAGGTCGTTCGCCATGGGGATCCCGATGCACTCGATCGCGCGGCGCATGAGGCTCTCTTTGGGCTCGCCGAGGTCGCCGCAGAGGTCGCGCGCGGCGCGCGCGGCGTTGACGCCGGCGCCGTTTGAACCCTTGCGTCGGGCGAATTTTCCAGGCGGGGAGATGAGGTGCTTGCGCTTCGCCGCGAGCGCGCGCGCGCTCGGGGTCTTCGCGCCCGCGGCGTCGAGGCGGGAGAAGACCGAGCGCCGCGCCGCGCCGGGGGGCGCGTTCTCGTCGTTGACGGCGGCGGCGCCGCCGCCGACGGACTCGACCGCCGCCTCCGCGGCAGCCTGCGCGGACATGGATTCTTCGCCGTGCGCGGCTCGAGCGGCGAGACGCGCTCGCGCGGCCGCGCGCGCGCTCTCCGCGGGGGAATCCGCCGCGCCCGCGACGCCGGGCGGGGAGGTCAGGTACGAGTCGAGCTCCTCCATGTCGATGTCGGAGAAGTCGTCCTCGAAGTCGTTCTCGGCGAGCACCTGCTCAGCCATCTCGCCTCTGGGATCTGACGCGCGGCGAAAAGTGAATGCGAACGAGATTCGTTCGTTCGTTCGCGCTTCGCGCGAGGAAGGCGGCGACGCGCGGAGGCGCGACGTGAGCGTTCGCGGAGCGAAAGAAAAACGAGTCCGGCGACGGGCTCGAGGGTGTCGACGTGAAGACGCGGTGTCTGAAGACGCGCGCGTGCGGGTGTGACGACGACGACGCGCCGGACCGTTCCGAGGTTTGAAATGATTAACCGCAGGTCGCCTGTGCCAACTTTTTTGAATCCCTGACTGTCTTTCGACGTTTCGTAAGTTGCCTCTAGCGTCGAGCGATGTGTCCCCTGAAACGACGGTTTAAACCGTCGGGAGACGTCGATACCACCCGATACTCATCTCGATACGTAAATAAATGAATAAATAAATAACCTCAGTTTTTTTATCGAGTCTGGGGTGAAACGTTTTCCTTTCAAAATTTTCGATCGATCAAACTGGGCTCAAATTCATCGGGGGGCTTCGATACCACCCGTTACTCAATCATCGTTACTCATCATCGTTATTTGAGTATTATCTGAATAATCTCAGTTTTTTGATCGAGTCTGGGGTGAAACGTTTTCCTTTCAAAATTTTCGATCGATCAAACTGGGCTCAAATTCAGATTTCATCGCGAACGACACGGACCGCGCCGCGCCGACACGACCCCCGCGCGCGCTCTCTCGCGTCACCGCGCGGACCCGTTCGCGAACCACCCCCCGGTCCCCATCACCATCACCCGCCGCGCGATCACGAGCACCGTAGCCGTCGCCACCACGCACCCCGCGGCGAAAAAACACGCGCCGACGTCCCCACTGTAATACCTTCCCAACAGCACCGGCGTGAGAATGCGCGCGACGGAGTTCACCGCCGAGTCGATGCCCATCACCGCGCCGCGCTTGTTCTTCGGAACGCACTGCATCAACAGTATCGGTACCGCGGGCGTGAACAGCGGTATCCCCGCGACGTACAACGTCGCCGCGCACACGGCCGCGACGGGGCCCGCGCCGCCCGCGAACGACAGCGCGAACAGCCCGGCGGAGACGAGCGCGAGGCCGACGGCGGTGGTGAGCGTCAGGCCGATCGTCTGAGGGCGATGCCGCGCGGTGCGAAGAAAGTTCATGCACCGGTCAGTAAGGTTGAAAGGGGGAGCGATCAAATGTTGAAACCGAGGGATGGGTGAAAACCAAAACGCTCGTCGCACAGAAACGCACCTTGGTGATCTTCGCGAACAGAAACGCGCTCACGCCGAAGCTCACCGCGGACAACGACGTGAGCGTCCCCCCGATCTCCCGCGGGCCCATCCCCAACGTCCCGGACGCGTACACGGGAAAGAACGAGTCGAACGACGACTGCCCGGCGTTGTACATGAACGACGTGAGACATATCGTGCTCACCGCGGCGACGAGCCCGCGACCGAGCGGGCACAGCGGCGCCGCCGCCGCCTCCCGCTTCCCTTGCGTCGCCGCCGCCGCGCGCGCGCGGATGCTCCGCCCGCCGTACACCCCGATATCGTCGCCGCCGCTGTTGAGCTCGTCCGCGGTGTATATCACCTCCTCGCACTGCACCCTATCCTCATCGCACTCGAGTAACGGACGGACCGGGACCGTTTCCGTTTCCTCGTCCGCGGCCGTCCTCTTCCACGACGACCCGCCGCCGCCGTCGTCCGTCGCCGACCTCGGCGCCTCGCGCATGACGACCGCGACCAACGCCGCGGCGGCGATGGACGCCCACCCGGTGACCGCGATGCACGCGTGGAGGGAGCTCCCGTGGAACAGCAGGCCGCCCAACGTGGGACCGACGATGAACGCGAGCGTGCACGACGCCTCTCTCCACGCCATCCACTGCGGCAGATCCTCCGGAGACGCCGCGTCCGCGAGGTAGGCTTTCACGACTGGCGACGCGCCCGCGCACGCGCCGCTGGCGACGCGCAGCGCGAGAAACGTTTTGAGCGACCACCCCGCGGCGACGCAGTGCGCCTGGGACACGAGCCCGGCGCCGACGCCGAGGAGCGAGAGGACTAAGATCGGTTTCCTCCCGACGCGGTCTGAATAGGACCAGGGATCGTTTTCCGCGCGAGGCGACGTCGGGGCGGGGCGCGGCGGCGCGTCAGTCGGCGTCGCGAGGCGTCGCGGCGCGTCGGGATCGAAACCACCGAGGGGCGGGCGGGGAGACACGTCTCCCGCCGGGAGAGAAGAAAGGAAGGCCTCCCTCAGAAACGAAGTTCACCGCGCGAACGCGGTCGTACGGGGAGCGGCGTGAAACTACTGTATGTAGAACGCACCCGAGAGCCTCGGCCACGCGAAGAGCGCGCCGAACATGCCGAGCGGATACGCCGCTGTGAGCACGCCGACGTCGGACGCGCGGAGGGCGAAGTGCGTCACGAGGCCCGGGGTTATCGGGCCGGTGACGGTGAACCCTAAGAGGTGGAGGAACACCGCGAGCATGACGCACGCGACGGAGACGTTCTGACGCCAGTCCGCGGAGGACAACGGCGACGACGACGACGCGGCGGACGCGCGCGCGATCGCGGCGCGACGGCCGCGCGCGCGGCGCCGTCGCGTCCCGTCCCGGATCGTCGCCGTCGCGTCCGACGAACACGACGTCGTCGCGACGTGTCTCTCGTCGCGCCCCGACCCGGCGGATTCGGCGGCGAGGACGGCGACGCGCGCGGCGTCGTCGCGGCGCCGCGGCGTCGCGCGGAGGAGAAGAACGCGGCACCCGCGATCGTTTCTTCCGAGCGGCGCGCTGCGATCGACGACGCGACGGGACGCGCGCCTCCCCGATACCGCGCCCGCGCTCGATCGACGCTCGAGCGCCAGCGGCGACGACGGCGTCATCGCGAGGCGGTCCGCGACGTCGACTTCGGCGCGACGGCGCGAGCGCGTCGACCGCGGCGCGCGCGGTTCAAACAGATCACACGTCTCGAATATCGCGGATCGATGACGCGGATGAATGTTGATGCCGTGTGTCCGCGTCGCTCCGTCCCCCGGCGTCGACGCGCACTTCCACGCGCGCGGCGACGTCGCACGCCCGACGCGCGCGCTCGTCGATACCTTCACGGTCACCCGCACCGCGCGGAGGACGCCGACGCGTCCGCGAGTCGCGTCCGAACGACGAGAAGAGCGACCGCGGGGTCAGGCGCTCGATCCGCGCATTAAATTATTCACTCATCACTCACACGATGGCGGCGTCCGCGTCGTCGTTCTGCGGCGCGCGCGTGACCCCCCGCCGCGCGTCCACGCTCGGTCGCGCCGCCCGCGTCTCCTCCTCCTCCTCCTCCTCGCGCGCCGGCGCCGGCGCGCGCTCCCTCCGCCTCCGCGTCGCCGCGCACGACGACACCGTCTTCGACTACGCGCGACTCGAGTACGCCACGCTCCGAGGGATCCAATTGATCGACGTGACCGCGGACGTTCGCGCGCGCGTCAAGGCGGCGGGGATCGAGAACGGCGTCGTGAACGTCCTCTCGCGGCACACGACGACCGCGGTGACGATCAACGAGGCGGAGGGTCGCCTCATGGACGACGTCCGGCAGTACCTGACCAGGCTGGCGCCGCCGGGGGATCCATACCTCCACAACGACCTCCACCTCAGGCGCGTCCCGGTCGTCGGTCGTCGTCGTCGCACTAGTCCCCGTACGACCGCGTCGGCGTGGTGAACGCCGATCCTTGAGGACTTTCTCTCCCGGCGTTGCGTTCGTTTCTCTCCGCCCATCACCCCTCGCTGTCAATCCAAATACGCACCTCGATGCCTTTCGACTTCGCTTCTGACGCCTTTCGACTCCGCCGTGTCATCAGGAGCGGCCCCCCCGACTGGCCCGGCGGCGACGCCGCGTGGAGAGCGCAAGAGCCGGAGAACGCGCACTCGCACCTCCTGTCGATGTTGATAGGCAACAGCGAGACCATACCGGTCGTGGACGGCGAGCTCGCGCTCGGGACGTGGCAGAGCGTGATGCTGGTGGAGTTGGACGGGCCGAGGACGCGAACGCTCGGCGTGCAAGTCGTCGGCGTCGGCGTCGAAAAACGCGCCGACGCCGGCGAGCCGCTCGGGGCGTATAAGAGCGAGGCGAAGGGCGCGGCGGTCGTCGCGGAGAGCTCCGGCGTCGACAGCGCGGCCGCGGCGTACGACGACGCGTTCGATGCGTTTTGCGAGGAGGACCCGAGCGCGGACGAGTGCAAGGTGTTCGATTGACGACCGACTGACGACTGACGACGAGAGAGGCGCGCCTGGAGTCGCGAGTGGAGCGACTGTGACTGGAAGGGGTGGGGCATCTATCGATCGAGCGCCTTTCACCCCGCGCGTTGAAAGGAATCGCGGTCGACTTTGATCGGAGAAAAAAGTCATCTCCATCGTAATAAACGACGCGTGCGCAACTCAAAAACGCGTTTTTTCCCTCGCCCGCCCCGAGGGATCCTTCCGTCCGCCTCCCGGCGGCAGTCGACGCCGCGCCAGCACCGCGGCGGGCGACGACGGCGCCACCATGTCGACGTCGCCCCCCTCCCCCGACGGCTCGACGCACTCGCTCATCGCGCTCGAGCTCGAGCGCGCGGACGACGACTCCTCGGACGGCGACGGCCTCGGCGGCGTCCCGCGCGGTCTCGCGATGAAGTTCGGCGGAGACTTCGCGCCCGACGGCGCGTGCGAGGGAGGCGACGACGACCTGTCGCACACGCCGTTCTGGAACGCGACGCTGAACAACATCATGTACATCGCGTCCCCGCTCGCGATGCCCGCGACGCTCGCCGCGGGCGGATGGTTCTTCGGCAACGTCTGGTTCGTCTACTGCGCGGCGTGCACGTACTGGACGGGCACGATCATCGGCAAGGTGTTCAACGCGCATCCCGCGCTCACGACGTACCCGGCGATGGTGGGCGAGGCGCTGCACGCGCGGTGCTACGCGGCGACGGGTGACGCGACGGCCGCGCGCGAGCACAGGAGGCGGGGGAAGCGCGCGGCCAAGGCGCTGCAGTTTACGACGTTTTACCTCGACACCGTGACGCAGATCATCTTCATCGCGCAGTACCTCGGGCAGCTCGCGCCGCGCGCTGAGGTGTGCCAGTCCACGTGGCTATTCATCGTGTGGCTGATGGTGATCCCGGTGATGCAAATTCCCACGTTCCACGCGAGCCGGTGGGTGATCGTGCCCGCGGTGACGGTGCTGTTCCTCGTCGTGGCGTCGTTCTTCGCGGAGGTGTCGCTCGTGAAGGTGCGCGAGAAGACTGGCGCCCGCGCGACCAGGGTTCTCCTCGCACTGGTCCCCATACGACCGCGTTGGCGTGGTGAACGCGATTCCTTAAGGACTTTTCCCGACGCATCTCTCTGCCCAGGGTCCCTCGCTTTCAACTCGACCGCGACGCCTTCCGACTCCTCTCCGACGCGAACTCAATGAACTCAACGACCCCCGCGCTCGTCGACGACCCTCCTCCCTCCAGGCGTGGGACTGCGAGCCCGGACCGTCCTACGGCGGCGTCACCGCCGGGTCCGTCTTCGTGTCGCTGTCCGGGATGTCCTACGCGTTCGGCGGGCACGGGTTGTTCCCGGAGACGCTGCGGGAGATGAAGGACCCGGAGCGGTGGCCGACGGTGATGAAGCTGACGTACGGCGCCGTCGTGCCGACGTATTTCGGTGCGTTCTATACAAAAGTTTTTCACCCATCGCCCAGTTTCAACATTTGATCGCGTCCCCTTTCAACTGACCGGTGAACTATTTTTGTCCCTTAGTCGTGATGACGTTGGGGTATTACGCCTACGGATCGTTCGTGAACGCGAACGTGAACTTGAACTTTCCGAACAACGGCATAAACGTCTTCTCGCTCGTGATGCAACTGCTGCAGTGTTACTACCTCGTTTTTTACACGAACGTGGTCTTAGTCATGGGGCTGGAGATGCGGTTGGGGATCGACCCGACGGCGACGTGGACGCCGGCGTACGCGCCGCCGCCGTTGCTCCCGGGTTTTTTTCCCGGGGGCGGGCTGAGGATATCGATCGCGCCCGTGTGGGCGCGTCTCGCGCTGCGGACCGCGTTCCTCGCGTCGCAGATGATCGTCGCGGAGTTATTCATCGCGTCCGGGAGCGAGGACGTGATCCTGGCCGCGCAGGCGCTCACGGGCGCGGTGGGGATGGCGGCGATGACGTTTTTTTTACCGTCGGTGCTCGCGTCGCATTTGCTCCCCTCCGACGCGTTCGGCGACCGCGAGCGCAAGTTCATCGCGGTGAACTTTTGGATCGGGATCTTCATCATGGCGACCGGAGTCGTGACGTCATCGTACGACCTGCTGCGCGACGTCGGCGGGAAGGAGGCGTGCCTGCTCGGGTTTACGTATTCGCCGAACGACCCGGGGGATCCGTGTTACGTCAGCGGCATCGACGGGGAGGGGGGGCGCGGCGAGCTGTGACGACGCGACGCGACGCGACGTGATGACGCGTGGCGGGGTTTGATAGGTCGTAGATGGAAGAGATATCGGGTGGTTGGTGGGGTATCGCGTCGTCGTAGCGTGCATGATGAACGTCGAGTACGTAGGAACGAATAGACGAGCCCCTGCCAGACGAGCCTCGATTTCTGTTTTCCCGCGAAAAAGAACGCGTGGGTGACCATTGTTATCCCGCGCGGCGCGGTGTTGGCGCGCGCGCGCGGGATGTCGAACCCTCCAGCCCGATCGCCCCCCCCCGACGTCGTCGCGCTGCAGCCGCTGGCCGTTATCGACCACTCCGTCGTCGTCGACGACGCGTTCCTTCGCTCCGTCGACGGCGAGATCGGCGGATCCTCGCGCGTCGGCGTCGAGGAGTTGGAGCGCATCTTGGAGCGCGCGGGCGGCGCGCATCGGACGCGCGCGGGCGGGAGCGCGGCGAACACCGCGCGCGCGCTCGCGACGGGGTTCCGCGTGAGCTGCGCGCTCCTCGGCGCGGTCGGCGGCGACGACTGGGGCGCCGTCTTCGCGCGCGAGATGAGAGACGCGGGCGTGTCGGTCGACCATCTGACGACCAAGCCAGGGCTCTCGTTCACCGGCCGGTGCGCGTGCCTCGTGGACGCCGAGACGGGCCAGCGCACGATGCGCGCGTCGCTTCAAGACGCGGTCAGGCTCACCCCGGAGGAGGTCCGCCCGGGGTCGTTCGTCGGGGTCAAGTGGGCGATCGTGAACGGGTACGCGTTCTACGGCGAAGGGCTGGCGGACGCGGCGGTGGACGCCGCGGCGACCGCGAAGTGTAAGGCGCGTTCTACTGTATTCTCGCACTGGTCCCCATACGACCCCGTTCGCGTTGTGAACGCCGTTCCTTAAGGACTTCACTCTCTTCTCTCTCCCCGCGGTCGTCTCTCTCCGCCCGTCCTTCGGTTTCGACGCTCGACCTCGACGCCTCGCGACTCCGACCGTCTGACGCCGTTCGACGCCGCACCGACGTCGCTTCGTAAAAAAAAACGACCCGCCCTAAGGTCGCGATGCACCTCGCGTCGTTCGAGGTCGTCAGGCATCACAGGGACGCGCTGATGCGATTGTTGAGGAGCGGGAAGATCGACGCGGTGTTCGCGAACGAGGAGGAAGCGCGCGAGCTCCTCCCGGGGGAAGACGACGGCGGCGGCGGCGGCGGCGGCGGCGACGGCGGCGGCGGCGACGGCGACGGCGTCGCGTCGCGATTGGACGCGCCGCCGTCGGCGAGCGTCGCGTCGCGATTAGACGCGCTCGCGTCGACGTGCGACATCGCCGTGATCACGCTCGGCGACCGCGGCTGCGTCGCCGCGCGCGGCGCCGAGCGCGTCCGCGTTTCCGCGTTCGGGCTGATGCCTTGCGGCAGCGGCGTCCGCGGCAGCCGGTCGGTCGTGGATACTACCGGCGCGGGAGATTTGTTTTCCGCCGGTTTCATCTACGGCTTGCTGCGAGGCGAGAGCCTTCATCGGTGCTGCGAGCGCGGGAACCTGTGCGGCGCCGCGGTCGTCGGAGAGCTCGGCGGGGAGGTCAGCGAGAAAGGGTGGGCGTGGGTCCGCGTGCGAGAGCGAGAGCGTATTCTGCTAGACTAGGTATAAGATTGTCGTCGTCGCCTGTCTATCGGTCGCGATCGTCGCGTCGCTCCGGCGTACGCGGCGGCGGCGGCGGCGGGTTCGCCGGGTCGCGCCACTCCCCCCGCGCGCCCCACCCGCCGTCCTTCGCCGGGCCGTACAGCCAGCGATTCTCGATCCCGGCGCCGTCGCACGCCGTGCACTTCACGCGGCCGCGGCCGACGCACGCGTTGCAGTATGACAGTCTCACGTCTTCTCTGAGCGCCTCGTTCATCTCGTTCCTCTCGCGCTCGCGCTCGCGCTCGTCGACGACGGCTCCCACGTCGTCCGCGTCCACGCCGCCGCCGCTGCTCGCGCGCGCTGCGGCGGCGGCGCGGCGTCGCCCGAGCGCGTCCGCGCGGATGAGAGCCTCCGCGAGCGGCGGGCACCCGAGCTTCCCGCGCCCCGCGCAACGCGCGCAGAGGAGGTCGCCGAAGCCGCGGCAGGACGCGCATCGGATCGGCTTGAGCTCGCGCGCGATGGCGGGCCACGCGAGGGAGACCGCGGCGGCGCCGCAGAGCGCGCCGGCGAGGAGGGACGCGGCGTCGACCGCGGACGGAATCGCCGCGAGGCACGTCGGAGGAGGAGGAGGAGGAGGAGGAGGTCGACGAGGACGACGACGACGAGGACGAGGAGGGGGACGCGCGCTCGCGGCCGACGCGCGCGTCGGCCGCGACGGCGGCGACGACGCCGACGACGACGCCGACGACGACGCGAGGGAGATCGCGGCGCGCGACGACATCGACATCCGACCCTGGTCGCGCGCGCCGGCCGCCGCGCGCGCCGGCGGACTGGACGAGCGCGCGAGGCGAGGGTAACAACAGAATCTGATCGAGTTCGTCGGAGCGACGAATAACGACGGATCGCGTCCGTCGTCGTCAGAGCGCCGCGCGCGATGGCGGCGTCGGAGGCGCCGACCGCGGACGCGGACGAGAAATGGCGCCGAGCGCTCTTGAAGAAGCTCCGCTCCGCCGCGGGCGTCCGCGCGCGCGTCGCCGCGGGCGACGCCGCGTCGTTGCAGCGCTCTCAGGCGCCCAAGGCGGACGCGGTCGACGCGCTCGTCGCGAGATGCGAAGCCGCCGGGCTGCCGCGCGACGGCGCGCGCGTGACGGACGCGATGCGCGCGGGCGAGGCCGAGGGCGCGGCCGCGATGGCGGCCGCGAAGAAGCGCGAAGCCGACGGCGCCGCCGCCGGCGACGACCGCGTCTCGAGCAAGGCGAGCCGGAAGCGCGAGGCGGCGCATCACGGAGCGGGAGCGGAGCGACGACGCGCCGGCGGCGCGTCGGCGTCCGCGCCGTCGGGGCACGTCATCGGCGCGTGCGTGCGCGCGACGTGGGCGCTGCACGCGCTCGCGAAGGGAGGAGGAGGAGGAGGCGGAGGCGGCGGCGGCGACATCCCGAGCGCGATCGCGGAGCTCGCGCCGGTCGCGCGCGCGGCGGACGGCCGCCTCGTCGGCGTCGCGCTGTGGGCGTGCGCGAAATGCGTCGCGTTACACGCCCGCGGCTCGTCGCGCGAGACGCCGACGGAGGCGCGCGCGCTCGCGAGCGCGCTCGCGACGCGCGCCGGCGCGGTCGCGGGGACGATGGACGTCAGGGGGCTGTCGACGTCGCTGTACGCGCTCGCGTCGCTGTCGTCGACGTCGACGTCGTCGGGCGGCGGCGGCGGCGGCGGCGGCGGCGGCGGCGGCGCGAAGGCTTCCTCGTCGTCGCCGCCGCCGCCGCCGTTGTCCCTCCCGGCGGCCGCCGCCGCCGCCCGCCCGATCCTCGCCGCGCTCGTGGCGGCGCAGAGCTCGAAGGCGTCGTCCCTCCTCGCGAGCGCGCAAGACGCGGCGAACGCGCTGTGGGCGCTCGCGAAGTTGAGGCTCACGCCGGGCGAGGCGACGGCGAGGGCGTTGACGCGCGCGCTCGTCGCGTCGTCGTCGTCGTCGTCGTCGGGGGCGTCCGCGAAGCCGCAGGAGCTGAGCATGGCGCTCTGGGCGCTCGCGGTGCTGCACGGCGACGGGACGCTTCCGAATGCGCGCGAGGTGGCGCGGGATGTCGCGAGAGCGGCGACGACGATCGCGGAGGCGGCGGGGGCGGGGGGGAAGGGAGGAACGTCGAACGCCGCGACCGTCCTCTTCTCGACGCAAGCGATGTCGAACGCGGCGTGGGCGGCGGCGAAGCTCGCGTCCGGCGGCGGCGACGCCGACGCCGACGCCGACGCCGACGCGCGCGACGACGACGACCACGACGACGCGATGGAAGATCTGAGACGGCTCGTCACCGCGGTCGCGACCGCCGCCGCCGCCGCCGACGCCTCGAGGGAGAAAAACGCCTCCCGGCACACCCCCCAAGGGCTCGCGAACATACTCTGGGCGTGCGCGACGACGCGCGCGCCCTTACCCGTCGTCCTCCCGCTGTTGACGACCGCGCTGCGATCCGCCACGGGCGCGGGAAGGCGAGCGCTCGCGAGCGCGTACGGGTGCAAAGCCGACGACGTCGCGAAGCCCGCCGCCGACGACGTCGCGGCTGCGATCGACGCCGCCGACCGGCTCGGTCTGACGCTCGAGGACGGCGCCGCGAGCGCGCTGCTGTCGATGAAAGACGGCCCCGCGTCGACGGTTCGCGAGACGCGGAACAAGATGCTGTGCGTCGACGACGCGCACCGGCTGCTGTCGCAGAAACTGCGCGCGTCCGGGTGGAAAGTCACCAACTGGAACCGGTTCGCGCGCCGCGACCGCGCCGGGTCCGCGTGGCCGTCGAGCGGGAAGTTCCACGCGGTCACCGCGCGGTTATCCCCGACGAAGGCTGCGTTCGAGATGGCGGCGACGGCGGCGGCGTGCCGGCTCGAGCCCGGCGGCGCGTTTTACGCCTACGGCGCCTCCTCCGAGGGGATTCACACCGCGGCGTCGTCGCTGCCGGCCGCGCTGTTCGAGGACGCGAAGGTGGTCGTAACGGCCGGGGATGGTCCGTTCGCGGTGCTGACGGCGACGAGGACGGACGCTTCGGCGGACGCGTGCGAAGCCGCGGGCGCGGACGCGTTCAAGACGACGACGACGTTGACGCTCCCGGGGTGTTACGCGTACGAACGCGGCGAACGGCCGCGGTCTGATGACGCCGCGCGGCGGCCGCCGCCGACGCCGTGGGTGACCTACCCGGGCCTCTTCGCCGGCGGCGCGCTCGACGTCATGACGTCGTTCCTGTTGATCTCGTGCGAGAAACGCGGCGCGCTCGAGCGTTTACATTCGAAGAAAGGAGCGCCCGCGCGAGGAGGGGGGCCCCCCGCGGTGCTGGACTTTTGCGGCGGCTCCGGCGTCCTCGCGCTCGCGGCGACGCGCGCGGCGCCGAACGCGCGCGTCGTCCTCACCGACGCCGACGCCGTCGCGCTGCTCGCCGCGCGCGCGAACGTCGGCGATATGTCTGGCGCCAACGTCTCCGTGCTGTGTTCGGACGCGTGGGAGGCGCTGACCGCGGACGAGACGTTCGATCTGATACTCAGGCGCGTCCTCGTTCGTCGTCGCGCCGTTCCTTGAGGACTTCGCCCGCGCGCGCATCTCTCCGCCCATCACCCCTCGCTATCAATCCCCGACACACCGCGACGCATCACGACTTCAACTGATGCCTTTGCCTCACGACTCCACCCCGACGTCGCTTCGTATGGGCGATGACCCTCAGCAACCCGCCCGTGCATCTCGGCGCGCAGCCGGATTTCACCGTGCTGACGAAACTTTTGTCGGACGCGCGACGGCGACTGAGACCGGACGGAGAGGCGTGGATCGTCGCGCAGCGGTACGTTCCGATGGGGGCGATGTGCGCCGCCGCGGGCGCGGGCGACGCGACGTGCGTGGACGTGGACGATCGATTCGCGGTCTGGGTCGTCAAAAAGTGCCCCGCCGCCGAGGAGACGACGACGACGACGAAGGAGAAAAAGGAGAAGAAAAAGAAGAAAGACTCCAAGGACTCCAAGGACTCGAAGAAGAAGAAGAAGAAAGAGAAGAGAGAGAAGAAGAGGTAGCGATAGCATCACGCGCGGTAGTTGTACATGTAGTCGTAGTCTAAAACCTAACACGACGCCTCTCATCGCCGTAGTAACATCGATCGGATCGCGCGTTGCACCTCCGCCGGGTCGCCCGGCTGGTACGGCTTCGACGACGTCTCGTCGAACGCCGCGATCGCGTCTCCCACCCCCTCCGGCGCGCACCACCGCAGATGCCCCATCTCGTGCAACGTCTCCGCGAGCTCCTGCTGATGGTTCCCCATGAGCGCGTCGTTCACGACGACGAGCAGCGGCTTCTTCGCGCGCAGCGTCTCGAAGACGGACCCCGCGCCCGCGTGCGAGACGACGAGGTCCGCGCCGCGGATCTCGTCGTCGATCGACGGCGCGAACGCGAACGCGCGGACGCGGAGCCCGCGCGTCTTCGCGAGCGTCCTCGGCGCGCCGTGCGATCCCTTCCCCGTCTGCATCACGACGCGTTTGAACCCTTTGCGCGTCAAGATCTCCCCGACGCGCGCGGTGTCGAGCGCGGCGACGAGCGCGTCGAAGGATGTCGTCCCCACGGTGACGAAGACTGTCTTCGTCTTCGACGTCCTCGTCGTCGTCCTCGTCTCGGCGTCGTCGTCGTCGTCGCCTTCGCGCGTCGATGGCGAGGCGGACGGCGGCGCGGCGGCGCGGCGGCGCGGCGCGGGCGCGCGGCCCATCGTCCCGTACGCGCGGCGGCGGCGACCGTGCGGTGCGGGCGCGCGCGAGATGCAATGGCCCGGTTTCCTCGAAGTTGACGATGACGAGACGTCGCGACAACGACCGATACAAGGCTCGACGCGACGCCGCGCGTTCCTCTTCTGGCGCCGCCTCTTCTCGAGGCGCGCCGCTCGCGATGTCGCGCGCGTGGACGACGCGCCCGCAGCGCGCGCCGCCGCCGCGCGCGGCGATGCCCCCTCTGGGCGGCGGCGGCGGCGGCGCGACGCCGACGCCGACGCCGACGCCGACGTCGTCCTCCCTCGACGTCTTCCGACTCCTCGTCCCCGAGCTCGCGACGCGCGCGCTGACGCCGTCGGTCGTGCGCGGCGTCGCGAGCGACGCGCGCGCGATCGTGCGCGTGGACCGCGTGCACGGCGTCCACGAGCGCATCGTGCTCGTCGCAGACGACGACGCCGCCGCGAGACGCGAGACGCGCGAGCGCGGACGCGGACGCGGCGTCGAGCGCGAGGAACCGACGCCCGCGCAGCGCGCGCTGCTCGCGTTGCACCAGCTCGCGTCCGCGCGCGCGCTCGCGCTCGCCCCGCGCGCGCCGCCGCCGCCGCTGCGGCTGCTGCTGACGCGCCGCGAGGGCGCGTGGCTGCGCGAGAGAGGCGTCGTCGCGTGGGCGCGGGACGTCGCGGGCGCAGCCGTGCGCGCGTACGCCGCGGCGGCGGCGGCGGCGGCGGCGGAGGACGAGGTTCTGGAGATTGGCGCGTGGCCGCCGCTCGCGCTCGGCGCGGCGTTACGCGCGGTCACGACCGGGCTGTTGACGATGCGCGAAGAAGAGCGCGACGTCGACGCCGCGGCGGTTCGTGTTCCGCGACGGTTCGAGTTCGGGTTCGAGTTCGCGCCGCCGCGGGGGGTTCCGCCAGGGTTCCGTCCGGTTCCGCCGACCCCGCCGCGGGGTCCCGCCGAGCGCGCCGTCACGGACCACCTGCGCGTCGCGGTCGAGCTCGTCGCGACCGGGGTCATCGGGAAGAAGGGCGAGCACTTGACGCGCGTGAGGAACACGTCGCGAGCGAAGGTGTGGTCGTTCGGCGTGCGCGTTCGGGGTTGGTTTTCTCCCGCCGCCGCGCCGTTTCTTTTCGATTTCGCCGCGCGCTGACGCCGTGCCAAAAAACATACAGTACCTTCGTACTACAGTAACGTTTTCGCGCCGCGCCTCGACAGGTGAAGCTGCACGACGCGTCCCCGAACGCGACCGTGCGCACGGTAGAAATCACCGGCACGTCCTCCCAAGTCGCGTGCGCGAAGACGATGCTGCACCAAAATATAACGGAGGCGAGGGAGGCGTTACGAGCGGCGAACGACGGCGCCGCCGCCGCCGGCGCGACGACGCGCGAGACGGCGAGCCGCTGACGCGCGGTCGACGGCGGTCCTCCTCGTAGAAGACTAGCTAGACGAGACGAGACGAGACGAGACGAGACGAGACGAGACGCGCGCGCGGACCGCGAGAACGCGGACGATCGACGACGAGACGAATACGCCTTTCCTCCTATCTTCGCATCGCAATCGATCCTATCGCAGCGCGCGCGCGCGCGGCGACACCCGCTCTCGCGTCGTGCCCCGTTCGTTCTCCTCACACTGGCCCTCATACGACCGCGTTCGCGTTGTGAACTTCATTCCTTAAGGACTTTTCTCTAAAACGTAAAGTTGATCCCTTTGCCGACGGAGAATCCCATGATCTCCAGGAGCCCCTTCCCCGCGACCGCCTCCACGAGAAGGAGGCTCCACCACCCGACCATGCTCGCGCGCGAGTTCCACATCTCCGCGTTCGCGACGAAGCCGATCTTCCCCGGCTCGAGCACGGGCACGACCGGCGGCGGCGGCACCCCCGTCGGCGACGCGACGATCTTCTTCTTTCTCTCCTTCTCGTCGTTCTCCGCGATGAGGCGCTTGATCTTGTCGAAGACGCCCTCCTCCGCGCGCGCGGACATGCGAACGACGCGCGCCCTGGGCGCGGTCTTCGCGACGCGCAGCGGCGACGCGGCGACGAGCCTGATGGGTTGGGGGGGAGAGAGAGGCGGTCGTCAGCGGCGACGACGGGGACGACGACGACGACGACGCGGAGGGAGGAGCGTTTATCCACTCCTCGACGACGGCGGATGCGGGCGGCAGCGAACGAAGCGGCGCGAGAGGGGGCGGGGGGAGGACGCGCGCGCGCACCCGCGGCGCGCGGAGAGGGACGCGGGGCGCGTCGCGGAGGCCGCGACGGCGTTGACGTTCGCGGTGGCGAGCATTTCGTGCGTGGGGCGCGACGACGTGAGTGGCGCGTCCGTCGCCGCGGCGACGACGACGACGGGGCGAGAAACGACTGGCGCACGGACGCCGCACGCGGAGACGCCACGTCACGCGTGAGGGTAGCGCACGCGTAAACAGTGATAAATGGTTCGCGTAGTGTACTACGCGGTCGCGTACTCGCGCGGTCGGTCGGTCGGTTTCAATTTTTTGCAGCTGAGAGAAAAAAGGGACTCGTGTTCGCTTTTTAACTCGATCGTTCAACAGTTTCCGAGGGCGCGGCGAGGCGAGGCGAGGCGGGGACGCGATGGCGCCGCCCAAAGAGGAGCTCCTGAGCCTGGCGTTCAACCAAGACAACGGCTGCTTCGCCGTGAGCACGTCGCGCGGGTTCAGGATCCACAACGCGGACCCGTTCGAGGAGACGCACCGGCGAACCTTCGAGGGCGCGAACGCCGGCGTCGCTTGCGTCCAGATGCTCTTCCGATGCAACATCCTCGCGCTCGTGGGCGGAGGGAAGCGACCGAAGTACCCGCCGAACAAGGTCATGATCTGGGACGACCACCAAGGCCGCTGCATCGGCGAGCTGTCGTTTCGAGTGGACGTCCGCGGCGTTCGGCTGCGGCGCGACAAGATCGTGGTCGTCCTCGAGCGCAAGGTGTACGTGTACAACTTCTCCGATCTCGCCGTGACGAAGCAGGTGGACACGTGTTCGAATTTGCACGGCGCGTGCGCGCTGTCCCCGGGCGAGGGCGCGTGCGTGATGGCGTGCCCGGGGTTAAACCGGGGGCAAGTCCGCGTGGAGTTGTTCGACCGCGGCGTCACGAAATTCATCCCCGCGCACGAGGGCGAGATTCGGAATCTGCAGGTGCGTTCTATACACTGGTCCCCATACGACCGCGTTGGCGTGGTGAACGCCGATCCTTAAGGACTTTTCCCGGCGCGTCTCTTCGCCCACCCCTCGCGTTCAATCCCCGACGTCGACGCCTTTCAACTCCAACTGACGCCTATGAACTCCACCCCGCCATCGCTTTGTATGGAACGGCCCTGCAGCTCTCGCGCGACGGCGCGACGCTGGCGACGGCGTCGGACAAAGGGACGCTCGTGCGCGTGTTCGACACCGCGACGGGCGCGCCTCTGCGCGAACTCCGAAGGGGCGCGGACCGCGCGGCGATTCACTCCATCGCGTTCGCGCCGAAGGGCGATTACCTCGCGGTCGCGAGCGACAAGGGCACCGCGCACGTGTACGCGTTGATGAGTCGAGAAAGTGCCAATGGCGACGGCGCGGGCACCGGGGGTGACGACTCTACCGACGGAGATGTGAACCGTCGCGACGGGATGCGAACGGACGCGACGAGCGCGAGCGCGAGCTCGAGCTCGCCGCCGCTCTCCCCGAGCGCTTCTCATTCGTCGAAGAACGCGAAGAGCCCGCTGTCGTTCGTGAAGGGCTTCCTGCCGAAGTACTTCAGCTCGTCGTGGAGCCTGGCGCAGTATAAAGTCGGCGAGGGCGTCGTCGCCGCGGTGGCGTTCGGACGGGAGCCGCGCACGCTGATCGTCGTGACCGACGCCGGGGAGTGGCACAAGGTCGGGTTCGATCCCGTGAACGGGGGGGCGTGCGCGCGGTTGGGGTTTTGTCGGTTCATGAAGGCGGAGGAGGAGGAGGAGGAGGACGCGGGTTCTGGTTACACTGGTCCCCATACGACCGCGTTCGCGTGGTGAACGCCGATCCTTAAGGACAGAGGCGGGTGATGAGCGGAGAGTGTCGACCTGGATTTTTAGCACGCGCACGACTGGACCTCTCGTCTTCCCGCGCGTTTTCCGCATTGGGACGCGCGCGCGACGCGCGCTCCCGCCGCATCTCGCCCCGCGTCGACGTCGCGCGTCGCTCTCGAGACGCGAACGCGCGGGCGCGACGCCCTCGCGCGCGCGTCGAACGCGAGCTCGCGCGCGAGATCCCGCGCGCGCGCGCGAACCCGAAAACCGAAAGCGCGCGGCGGGAAAGATAGATGTACGCGCGGGAGGCGCCGAGGCGCGCCCTCCTCGCGGGTCGCGGCGAAGGCAGCGGCGGGCTCGTCTCGCGCGCGGCCGAGACCTCGCGAACGCACGCGTCCATCCCGGAACCGCGCGCGGACATGTGGCAGACGCTCCACGCCACGTTCGTGCGGGAGGCGCGCGAGTCCGGCACCGCGGGGCGGTCGCGATGCCGAACGCTAGCGATGCGAGGGACGCAGTTCGGCGAGTTCTACGACGAGCTCGCGGGAAGGCGCGCGGTGTTCGAGAAGTGGTTCCCGCTGAACGAAGCCAGGGCGTTCGGGATCAGCGGCGACCGGACGCAGAACGTGCTGCGAAGGATACGCGACGGCGAGCTGAGCTTCCGGCATCCCCCGGGCGTCGTCGTCCTGTGCGTGGGGACGAACAACCTGGGTCGCGACAACGACGGCCCCGCGGACACGTTCCTGGGGATACGCGCGGTCGTTCTCGAGATTCTGCAGACGCTCCCGGGGACGCGCGTGCTGCTGACGGGGATCTTGCCGAGAGGGCCCGCGAAGGGACGGAGCTCGATGCCGCCGGCCGCGGGCGAGGCGGCGTCGTACGCGGACGAGCCGCGAGGAGTCCGTCTCGACGGAGAGAGAAGAAAAAACTCGTCCCCGTCGTCCAAGTACGCGCAGCCAGGCGCGCACACCGCCGCGATCGAGGAAGTCAACGCGCGCTTGAAAGCGCTCGCGCGCGGCAGCGGCGGCGTCGTCGCGTTCGTCGACTGCGCCTCCGCGTTCCTCTCCGACGACGGCGCGTCGATCCGCCCCGAGCGCATGCGAGACGTGCTGCACCCGACGGCAGAGGGCATGCACGCGTGGTTTCAAATCTTAAAGCCCGCGGTGGAGGCGCTGCGGAACGCGCCGGCGCCGAGCGAGAGCTGGTACACCGGCGCGTCCGTCGCGCCCGCGAGCGAGAACGGCACGCTCGAGAGCGTGGACGGGGGCGTGCGACTGGCGCTCTCGAGGTGCGTTCTGTCTCACACTGGTCCCCATACGACCGCGTTGGCGTGGTGAACGCCGTTCCTTGAGGACTTTTGCCGTCGCATCTCTCCGCCCATCCCTCGATTTCAATCCCCGCCATCGACGCCTTTCAACTCCTACTGACGCCTTTCAACTTCACCCCGATATCATCGCTCGTATGGAACGACCTCGAGGCTCATCGCGTGGTCGCCGCACGCGTTGTGCGTCTGCGACATGAAAGAGGCGGACGCGCCGATCGTGTACGCCAACGATAACTTCTTCACGCAGACGGGGTACGGCCCCGCGGAGGTGATCGGGAGGAACTGCAGGTTTCTGCAGGGCGACGGCACCTCCGCGGAGACGGTGCGTGAGATGCGGAAAAAACTCGCGAGCGGCGAGGAGTTCGTCGGGATGGTTCTAAACTACCACAAGAACGGGACGACGCTCGTGAACTCGCTCGTGATGTCGCCGCTGAGAGACGCGAAGGGCGTCGTGACGCACTACATCGGGATTCAGCGGCTCGCGGCCGCGGAGTCGCTTCGGGACGCGCCGGCGGAGTATCAGATCAGAGCGGCGTTGTGACGTGACGAGCGCGGTCGGTCGGTCGACGGTGCGCGGAGGAAAGAAGACGCGGGAGCGAGTCTACGGCGTAAATGTACGGTTCGCGTTCGTCGTGTTATTAAACGAACCATCTCGACGGATCTCCGCGAACCCGCTGCGCAACTCTATAGACCACCACACACACCGACAAGCAGACGACGCGTCGGTCGACGCTCTACGTCGCGCGCCGTTCGACGCCTTCGTCTAAAGAATCGTCGACCGCGTTCCAAATGAACCGATCGACGCTTCATCGACAGACGCTTACGCCTCGTCGAGCGCGGCGACGCCGGGGAGCACCTTGCCCTCGAGGAGCTCGAGGGAGGCGCCGCCGCCGGTGGAGATGTGCGACATCTTGTCCGCGAGGCCAGCCTTCTCGACCGCGGCGACGGAGTCGCCGCCGCCGATGATCGTGATCCCGTCGAGGTTCGCGAGCGTGTCGGCGATCGCAAACGTGCCCTTCGCGAACGCATCCATCTCGAAGACACCCATGGGGCCGTTCCAGATGACGGACTTGCACTCGTTGAGCTCATCCTGGAACGACTTCACGGAATCCGGGCCGATGTCGAGGCCCATCCAGCCCTCGGGGATGTCGTCGACGGACACCGTCTGCGTCTTGGCGTCGGCGGCGAAGGCGTCGGCGACGACGACGTCGGTGGGGAGGAGGATCTTGACGCCCTTCTTCTCCGCCTTGGCCATGAGCTCCTTCGCGAGGTCAATCTTGTCGTCCTCGACGAGGGAGGACCCGACGGACTTGCCGAGCGCCTTGTAGAAGGTGAAGATCATGCCGCCGCCGAGGATGATCTTGTCCGTCTTCTCGAGGAGGGACTCGATCACGCCAATCTTGGAGGACACCTTGCTGCCGCCGACGATGGCGCAGAACGGGCGCTCCGGGTTGGAGACCGCGCCGTCGAGGTAGTCGAGCTCCTTCTGGAGGAGGAACCCGGCGACGGAGGGCGAGAGGAACTCGGTGACGCCCGCCGTGGAGGCGTGCGCGCGGTGCGCCGTGCCGAACGCGTCGTTGACGTAGAGGTCGGCGTGCTCCGCGAGCTGCTTGGCAAAGTCGGCGCCGTTCTTCTCCTCATCCTTGTAGAAGCGGACGTTCTCGAGGAGGCAGACGGAGCCGTTCTCCATGCCGGCGATGGCGTCCTTGACGACGTCGCCGACGCAGTCGTCGATCTTCGTGACGGAGCAGTCGAGGAGCTCGGCGAGGCGGTCGCCCACGGGGGTGAGGCGGAACTTGTCCTCGGGGCCGTCCTTCGGGCGGCCCTGATACGTCAATAGAGAGGGAGGGAGGATGCGAAGCGGCGCGACGCGACGACGGGTGGGGGGAGATGAAACGTCAGTCGAGTCGCGATGGAGCGACCGTCGGCGCGGCGCGGCGCGGCGGCGGAATCGAAAACGTTTAAGCATCGGAAAAAAAACGCGGCAAACCGCACGCGCGAACCGACGCCCGAGCGCCTCTATCGCGCTTGGATAGGGTCGCCAGAGTGGCGCGATCGGAGTTTCCGAAAACGCGGCGATCGCGGCGAGCGCGCGCGTCGATCGCGCGCGCGCTCGAATCGCGCGAGATGAGACCATCCGCGAGCGTCCCGTCGGTTTGATTCGAAAGCACGCGCGCGATCGACGTCGCCGTCGACGCGCGACGGGCGCGCGCGTCCGGACGGACGGGGAAAAAGAAAATTCGCGGAGGATAAAGACCGCGGCGATATTTCCGCGACAGCTAGGGAAGGCCGGAGACGCGCACCAGGTGGGAGGTGACGAGGACCTTCGCGCCGTTCTTGACGAGGTACTCGAGCGTCGGGATCGCCGCGCGGATGCGCGTGTCGTCCGTGATCTTCGCGCCGTCGAGCGGCACGTTGAGGTCGCAGCGGATGAAGACGGTCTTGCCCTTGAGGTCCGCCTCCTTGAGGTCGCCGACGGACTTCTTCGCGGCCTCGACCTTGAACGCCGCGCGGGGCATCTTCGCGGACGCGCGCGCCTTGGTCACGGAGGACTTGGCGAAGAACGCGCGGGAGGTGAGGGCCGGGGCGGCGGCGGCGAAAGCAGCCATCGTGTCGTGTGTTTACGGGAGTTCGTGCGTGTGCGGCGAAGGAGTGATTTCGCGAGCGAAAAAAAACGAACGTCACGTGCAGTTGCGAGCGAACAACAGAGGACGAGAACGCACGAAGCGACAACTGGCAAACGTGCGACGCTCGTCGTACTCGGGGATAGAATTGTATGGCGCGCAGTCAGATCACGTGATCTCGACGTACGCGTACGTCCGGACCGCTCGCGAAATTACAATTTTTTTCAGCCGGCCGAGGCAGCGTTCTGTTCTCTCGCTCGGCGGGGGGGCGACGCAGCCGCCGCGCGGTATCACGAGCCGCGTACATAATTCGAAAGATAGATTACAAAGAAAAGAACGCGCCTCGCGTCCGCTATTCTATCGGCGCTCCGCGGCGTCAGCGGCGGCGGGAGTCGCGTCCGTCCCCGTCCCCGTCCCCGGCGTCGGCGTCGGCGTAGGCGTCGACGCGCGATGGTACGCCCCCGAGAGCACCACGAAACCCGCGGCGGCGAGGACGACGGCGACGTCGACGCGTCCTATCCCTCGCTTCGTCTGCCACATGCCTTCGAGTTTCACCGCGACGCGGTCCTGTGGGCGGGGCGAACGGCGAGAAGGGCGTCGGTCGGTCGGCGGCGGCGGCGGCGGCGGCGGCGGCGGCGAAAGAAAAAAAAAACCAAAAAAAAACCAAAAAAAAAAACCAGAGGGTCCCCCGCGCTGACGACGGGGCGGCGCGGCCGGCGACGAGCGGACGACGCACCGCTCTCGAGCCTTCGTTGCGCGCGACGCGCACGCGATACTCGCGCTGCATCTTGATCGCGTGCGCTTTCTCGTGCGCCCACCACGCGGCCTCCTCCTCCGCTTCTCTCTCTAGGTCGCGCGCGACTTTCTTCCGCCGGCGCAGGTGTTCCTCGCTGAGGGTTGAGGGTCCACGCGAGCGAACGTCGGGGTGGAGTTGAAAGGCGTCAGAAGCGGACTTGAAAGGCGTCGAGGGAGGTGTGTCGGGATTGAAAGCGAGGGACCCTGGGCGGAGAGATACGACGGCAAAAGTCCTTAAGGATCGGCGTTCACCACGCCGACACGGCCGTACGGGGACCAGTGTGTAGAACGCGCCTGAACTTTCCGTAGAAGTCCTCCCACCGCCTCTCGAACGGCTCGCCGCCGCCGCCTCGCGCGGTGGACCCGGGAAACCCACTACCGCCGCCGCCGCCGCCGCCGCCGTCCTCCACGGAGTCGTACAGACGGCGCTTATCCGGGTCCCGTAACACGTCGTACGCCTCGGCTATCTTCCCAAACTTGCCAGCCTCCGCGTTCGGGTTGACGTCCGGGTGATGCGCCTTCGCCGCGGCTCGGTACGCCGCCCTGAGCTCCTCCTGCGTGGCGTCCTTTTCGACGCCGAGGAGCTCGTACAGCGACGGCGGCCGCGTCGACGGCATCGCGCGGATCGGCGGTCGGCGGAGCGACGGCGAGGCGAGAGAGGCGAGAGAGGCGCCGCGCCCCCTATGGCCGCGAAGAAGACGAGAGACGAGATCGCGACGCGGTGCCGACCTCGCGCGCGCCGCGACCAGACGCGCGTCGCCGCGTCGATGCCGACCGCGCTCGCGACGTCGTTCGACGCGCTACCGGCGCATCGTCGTTCGGTGACGCGCGGCCGCCCGCCCTGGCGCGCGCGGTCGATGAAGAAGCGAGCGGCGCGACGCGCAGTGATGAGCGACGGACGACGCGCGGGAACACTGATGTCGTCTCGCGCGGAGAAGGGCGGCGGATTTTCCGCGCGAGCACTCAGTTCGTCTCGTCCGGAGCGCGAATTGAATTCGACCCTCGCGGCATTCGTCGCCTCGCGGCACGCACGGCAGCAAGGCACGCGCGCCCGCACCGCGACCTCGCCACGCGCGTTCTCTCTCGCCACGAGCGCGTCGAAGCGAACGTCGTCGTCGAACGCGCGGAGGACGCCATGGGACGCATCAAGAAGAGCTCGAAGAAAAAGAAGGCATCCGGCGGCGGATCCGCCGCCGCCGCGAAGAGATCCAACTCCGACGACGAGTGGGAGGAGGGCATCACGACGATCACGGGCGAGGAAGACGACGACGACATGATGGACGAGGACGACGAAGGCGCCGCCGGCGCGGACGGGCACGTCGAGACCCACCTTCTCTTCCCTCCCGCGCCCCGCGCGCGCGTCGCGTCGACGAACGAATTCGCGCCGCCTCGCCTCGCCTCGCTCGATCGATCGCGACTCCCTCCGCCCTCCTCCGCTGACCCTCCCTCCCACCCCCTCTCCTCCCCCAGGACGGAAGACCTCCCGAAGCGCCCGGAGGTGTGGCGCCCCGGCGTCGACGGCATGGACGCGGACGAGGAGCTCGAGTACGATCCCACCGCGTACGACTGCCTCCACGCGTGGCAGCTCGAGTGGCCGTGCCTCTCGTTCGACGTCATGCCCGACGATCTGGGCGACGACAGGCGGCACTTCCCGCACGCGCTGTTCGCCGTCGCGGGCACGCAAGCGTCGAAAGCGCATCAGAACAATCTGACGCTGATGCGCGTGACGCAGCTGCGGAAGACGAGGCGGAAAGAGAAAGAGAAGACGACGGAGGAGGTCGACGAAGACAGCGATGCGAGCGAGTCGGAGAGCGACTCAGGTGCGTTCTGTTCTATACACTGGTTCCCATACGACCCCGTCGCCGTGGTGAACGCCGATCCTTAAGGACTTTTCCCGGCGTGCCTCTCCGCCCAGGGTCCCTCGCGTTCAATCCCCGCCCGCGTTGCCTTTCAACTCCGCTTCTGACGCCTTTCAACTCCACCCCGACTTCGCTTCGTATGGACAATTACCCTCAGACGACGACGACGTCAACGCCGCGGGCGCGAAGGTGGGTCCGCGTCTGAGCGTGCAAAAGATCACGCATCACGGCGCGGTGAACCGATGCCGGTGCATGCCGCAGAAGCCCGCGGTCGTGGCGACGATGGGGTCCACCGGCGTCGTGCAGGTGTGGGACCTCACGCCGCAGCTCACGACGCTGATGCGAAGCGTCGGGGAGCCGGAGGCGGGGTCCAACGCGAACGCGGATTCGACCAAGGCGACGTCGCAACGCGTCGCGCCGCGGCACGCGTTCACCGGCCACGCCTCCGAGGGCTACGCCGTGGACTGGTCCCCCGTGACCCCCGGTCGGTTGATCACCGGAGATAACGACGGCGCGGTGCACCTGTGGGAGCCGCGCGAGGGCGGACGGTGGATCGTGGATAAGAACGCGCCGTTCGCGGGGCACGCGTCGAGCGTCGAGGACGCGCAGTGGTCACCCGCGGAGAAGGACGTCTTCGCGACGGCGTCCGCGGATCAGACGGTGTGCATCTGGGACGCGCGGACGCGAGGAAAGCCCGCGCTGCGGGTGAAGACGCACGACGCGGACGTGAACGTGATGTCGTGGAACCGCGTCGCGAACTGCATGCTCGCGACGGGCGCGGATGACGGCTCGCTGCGTATTTGGGATTTGCGGCGATTCGGAAACGGCGGCAGCGGCGACGCGAACGCGTCGGGAAAGACGGGGGAGGGATGCGTCGCCGACTTTTCCTTCCACCGCGGACCGGTCACGAGCGTGGAGTGGGCGCGGTTCGATGGCGCGATGCTCGCGACCGCGAGCGCGGACCACACCGTGTGCGTGTGGGACCTCGCCGTGGAGCGCGACGCCGAGGAGGAAGCCGCGGCGATGGCCGCCGGGGACAACGCGGTGGCGCCCGAGGATCTCCCGCCGCAGCTCATGTTCGTGCACCAGGGGATGAGGGATCCGAAGGAGCTGCGGTGGCATCATCAGATCCCGGGGATGATATGCACGACCGCGCTGGACGGGTTCAACGCGTTCAAGGCGTACAACGTCGGGAACGACCTCCCGGCGTAGAGGGAGTCGATCGATCGATGACAATAAATAATGAAAGCATTTTTGCAACGAAAAAGTGCATCGGTCAACTTGAAAGGGGACGCGATCAAATGTTGAAACCGAGTGGTGGGTGAAAAACGTTTGCATCGAACGCACCTCAGCCGACGCGATCGCGCCAAAAGTCGTTCGTTCTCCGCCGTCGGTTCCTTTTCTCTCTCGGACGATGACGTGCCCGCGCGCAGAGATGCGCGCGCTCGCGTGCTCCACCGCGGCCCGATACGGCGCGCCGCCCGCCTCGCGCGGGGGCGGCGCGTCGACGTCGAGCGCGGGGCATCGTCCGCGATGCCGCGCGTCGACGTCGACGTCGACGTCGACGCGCGCGGCGGCGTCGCCGTCGCCGTCGCCGTCGCTCTCGTCGTCGGACGCCCCGCCGTCGCGCTTTCTGACCTTTCGCGTGGCGAAGACGCTGCGCGTGCCCGTCTTCGAGCCGCGCGACATCGCGTCCGCGCGAGGGAACTCGCCGAAGTCGTTGGAGCGATGGACGCGGACGCCGCGGAACGTCATGGGCGTCGTCTTCACCGCGGACGACATCGCGGAGCTGCGAGAGGGGACGTGGCGCGTCCAAGTCACGCGGATGCCGCTGCTGCAGTGGGAGCTCTCGCCGGAGTTCGATCTCCGAGTCTTGCCCCCGGAGGCGTCGACGATCCCGGGCGGCGTGCGAATGCAGAGCGACGCGCTGCGGTTCGCGGACGCGAACAGCGCGGAGAGGCTGCCCCCGGGGTTTAAGGACATGGATTTGTGGGAGAGGATAGACGCGACGTTGTACGTCGACAGAGACGGCGGCGGCGGCGGCGGCGGCGACGCCGCGGCGGTGTGCGCTGACTTGGACGTCCAGATCGCGGCGGACATCCCGAGCTTCCTGAGGCTGATCCCGTACTTTGAAAAGATCGGCGAGAGCGCGATCGGGACGAGCATAGACATCGTCGGCGCGGGCGCGAGGACGCGCGTGCAAGACGCGTACGTTCGGTGGACGACGACGACGACGTGAACGACGTGAACGACGCGACGGATCGATCGTTCCATCGTTCGATCGATCGAACCGCGGACGCGTCGTCGTCGGGGACGTCGGGTCGCGGCGGCGGCGAGACACGCCGCGCGACGACGACGACAACGGGGCTACTTAGGAACGATTAGAACGCGCGCGCCGGCGCGTTGTGAGACACTAGTCGCATCGAAACCCTCGCGCGCGTCGCGCGCCTCGCTCGACTCGAAGCCGCGAAAAGTCGCCCGAACACCGCACCGCATCAGATCCGCACCGCACCGAGATCTCTGTCAGATAAAAAATATCCCGCTTCCGCGCACTCGCCCGCGCGCGAGCACGGCGAGCGAGACGGGGCGGACGCGCGAGCCCGCCCGCGTCCTCTTCTCGCGCGCATTTCGAACGCGTCCGAGGTTCACGACCGCCGCGGAGGAATTCGACGGCGTCGCCATCGCGCGAACGCGGACGAGGCATTCCATGCGATGAGTCAGGACGAGACGAACGACGGAGGTGCGCACGACCGCGACGACGCCGCTTCGCGGCGACGCCGCCGCGATTTCGACGCGGTGTCCTCGCGTTTTTTTCGTGAAGACGTCGCTCGCGATGTTCGTCGTCGCGTCATCCCAGCTCGGCGCGGTTTCCGCGGGGTTCACGCGCCTACACTCGCGCGCGCGCCTGCCGCGTCACGCTCGTATCCCCCGCGGCACCGTCTTATCTAGCTAGACTAACATCGCCTCATCCCCCCTCGCCCTTCCTCGCCGAGGCGCAGGCGGCGGCGGAAGCGCGGAAGCGCAGGCGTTCACGAGCGTGCACGACCTCGTTCATTACGCCCTCGCGTCGCAGCCGAATAAGCGGTCCGTGCCTCGAACTCGCGCCCGGGTCGAGTCGTCGTCGCTCGAACGTTACATTTTTCTTTCCCGGCACGTGCGACGACGACGCGGACGTCGCGCCATCGCGCGCGCGCGTCCTGACGCCCCCTCCCTCCCCTCCCCCCGCGGCATTCATCGAAACAGCGCCGGGCTCCGGCAGATATACGCGACGTGCAAGGAGAAAGGCCGCATCGCGTCGAAACGTGCGCGCCCCGACCGCGCGTCGCGCGCGTCAACCCCCGCGCGCGCCTCGCGCCCGCCAGCTGTCGAGAAAGCGAGAACCGCGTCTCTTTCTTTTTCGCGCGGTGACGCGCTCCCGCGGTTTCTTTTTCAAGCGCCTCGCCGCGCTCGCCGACTCCGCTCTCCCCCCCTCCCCCCCCCCTCCCCCCCCCGTCCATCGCGCAGACGGCGGCGGCTGCCGGCTGCTGACCGCCAACGAGCACTGGAAGAGCCAGATCCGTCACGCGCTGTACACGTCCCCGCGGTTCAAGCGCGCGGGCGACGGCACGGACGAGTGGGCGCCGACGTCCCCGGACGCGCCGACGCCGCGGACGAAGACGGTACGGATCGACGCCGGCGCGGCGACGGCGACGGCGACGGGCACGGGCACGGGCGCGGGGGGGGCGACCCCGAGCGGCGGGAGCGATCACAGCAACGCGGGAGGAGGCGGCGGCGGCGGCGGCACTTCCCGGAGGGCGACGGGCGCCAAGACGACGGCGAAGGCGAAGAAGGCGTCTCGGTCTCCGCCGAAGGCGACGGCGAAGGGAAAGGAAAAGGCGAGCGAGGAGACGAGCTCCGGCGACGCGCGCGGCGGCGGACGGAAACGCGCGCGCGCGGAGTCGCTCGCGGCGAAGACGACGCCGGAGCAGTCGGTGACGGAGACGACGACGTCGCTGCCGTCCGCGCGCGATCCCGCGAGCGTGATGAGCCCGTCGAAGCCGCCGTCGCGGACGCCGCTCGCGGAGGTGAAGTCGGCGGCGGCCAAGCGGTCGCCCTCGCTCCGCGGGCAGACGCCGCCGCTGCTCGTCTCGCGCAGCGGGTCGCCCACGCACGATAGCTTACCCGCGGCGACGTTTAAGGTGATGGTCGGGAACATCGCGGTGACGCCCAAGGCGAGGGATCCGACGCACCGACGCAAGCACAGACCCGCGCGCGCGGCGACGTGAGGGACGATTTTTTTTTTCGCGGACGCCGCGGCGCGGCGGCTGGACTTTGTCCGCGTGGGGGATGCCATCCTTGGACTGCCCACACCGATTACTTACTACTACTACGACTACTACCACCACCACCATTCATGCACGCGTCCGCGACGCGAGAGATTATGCGCTCTGTTATGATATTCCGCACGCAAGTCATTTCATATTTTTGTTGTTCTCAATACGAATACGATTTAATGTTGTTCTAACGTCGTCTGGTCCGTCGTCTCGACCGCGATCTCGCTCTCTGTCCTTCCTTCATCACGCGCACGCGCCCATGGACGCGCCTTCGACTGCCGCCTGCAACAACTCCCTCGCGCTCAAACGCTCGCCGTTGCTCTCGTAAATCATGTCCGACAACCCTCTCTGTTCCCTCCACTCCTTCGCGAGCTTCGCGAGCCGCAAGAAACGCTCCGGCGTGCTCTCTTCCAGCTGCAACCCGACGCCGCCGTAAAACCGCGTCTTATTCGACCGCGCGTTGTACGCCTTGACCTCCGCGTCTTTCTCCTCGTTCCTCTTCTCCACGTCGAGGTCGATGCCCATCGCGCGCGCGCGTATGACGCGTTTGCGCTGCAAACCGGCGAGCTGCGCGTTGAGGCGATCGTGCGCGCTCTCAGTGGAGTGCCGGTCGCTCTGGTACCCGCGCGTCTTTCGCGCGTTGAACGCCGCGCGGCCGTCCGCGTCGAGCGGCGAGTACTCCTCCTCCGTGGAGCACCCGTCGCTGACGTCGCAGGTGGTATCGGCGGCGGCGCCGCCGCTCGTCGAAGGACCGCCGTCGTCGTCCGCTCTCGACGAAGCGGCGCTCGCCGCCGCGTCGTCCCCATCCTCCTCCTCATTCTTCTCCTTCTTCTTCTCCTCCTTCTCCTCGTCCTCGTCCTCCGACGCGAAGACCTCGGTGAACGCCGCGGCGGACGGCTGCGGCGTCGGCTTCGCCGTCTCGCTCAGAGGTTTGATCTTCCGTCGTTTTCTTTTGACGGGCGCGCCAGCCATCTTCTGCAGCTGCTCTTCGAGCTTCGCCTTCCTCTCTTCCTCCGTGATCGTCCTCGCGCTGGCGTCCGCGGCGTGCTCGCCGTCGCCGTCGCCGCGCGCGCCGCCGCCGTGCGCGTCGTCCTTATACCGCTGCTGCCAGCGCCAGTCGTGATGGCTCCACTCGAGATCGTCGGGGAGGTCTCGCATCGTCTCCCCCTCGCTCAGGATCCGGTAGGCGTCCTGGAGCGTCGCGAACTTCCCCGCGTCCGCGCCCTCGCGCGCGATGTCGGGGTGGTACCTCAGCGCGAGCTTCCGGAACGCGCGCTTCAGGGTCTTCGGTTCCATCGCTTCCTGCGAACGACGACGACGGGGGGAGGAGGCGGGGGGGCGGATCCGCGCGTCAAAAAAGAACAAAAAAAAAAATCCAAACGAACGGACGACGCGGGGGACGGGACGCCGCGCTCGCCGCGAAGCCGTCCGCGCGTCGCGCGTCCCTCGACGCGCGCACCTCCATGGTCAGCCCCATCATCTCCGCGGCCTTCCGCCTTCCGTCGTTCGTCCAGATCTTCGCCTCGATCGTCGTCCCGCCGCGTCGTCGTCCGTCGCCGACGCGACCGTGCCTCGTCATCGTCGTCGTCGTGCTTTTTCGAAGCCGCGCCGCGCCGCCGCCCGCGCCGCCGTAAGACGTCGACGCGGTCAGCGTCGCGACCGCGTGCGCGTTCATCGCGGGCCGGGCCCCAGCGCGGCGGGCGCGCGTTCGTGCGCCTCCGGGCGGGACGCGCGCGAGAGCGGTGGAGCGCGCGACGGAGTGGCGACGCGCGACCGGCGAGCGGCGCGTTTCCGTCCGTCGAACGCGCGGCACGGCACCCGTACCCGCCCATAAGTCGCGCGAAATAAATATCACACGGCGCGAATTTAAATCCCGAAAGACGGTCTAAAATTATCCGTCGTCGGCTGGCGCGTGGCGCGTTCCGGTCGTTCCTTCTCTTCCTTCCTCTCGCGTTCGCGCCTCCGCGGCTCCCGCCGACATCAGTCAGTCTCACGTCGGAATCACTCCGCGAGACGCGACGTTCACGCGAGACCCCGCGCATCACCATGGCGGACGAACACAAGGTACGCGATCGCGCGTCGTCGCCCGGCCTCCGCGCGCGCGTCTCCTCCCCGTCGCGATCGATCGACGTGGCGTCGCGTCGCGCGACGACGTTTAGATCCGCGACCGAGATCCGCCACGACTTTCCATCTTCCTTCGCGACGCTTCCATTCGTCGGCGACGTTCGCGACGGCGGACGACTCTCCCTCGCGCGCCCTGCGTCCCCTACCCCCCCCGCGCGCGCGCGCCTCCGCGCGATCGATCGTCCCCACACCTGACGTCGCGCCCGCCCGCCGCGAATCCTCCCCCGCCTCTTCCCCACTCCTCGCGTCGCGTCCACCTCAGGCCAAGGGCAACGCCGCGTTCAGCGCGGGCAACTACCGCGACGCGATCGACCACTTCACCGCCGCGATCGGCGCGGACCCGTCCAACCACGTCTTCTACTCGAACCGCAGCGCGGCGAGAGCCGCGGTGGAGGAATTCGACGCCGCGCTCGAGGACGCGAACGCGTGCATCGCCGCCAAGGCGGACTGGCCGAAGGGCTACGGACGCAAGGGCGCGGCGCTGTACGGCTTGCGAAAGTACGAGGAAGCGATCGCGGCGTACGACGAGGGGCTGAAGATCGATCCGACGAACGAGACGCTGCGATCGGGACTCGCGGACGTCAAGCAGGCGGAGATCCGAGCGACGCAGGGCCCGCCCGCGGACGCGATGGGAGGCATCGGGCAGATGCTCTCCTCGCCGGAGCTGTACGGCAAGATCGCGATGGACCCGACCACTCGCGGGTTCCTCGCTCAGCCGGATTTCGTCGCGATGCTGACGGACGTGCAGAAGAACCCGAGCTCGTTTTCAAAGTACATGTCGGATGAACGGATGATGAAGGTGCTATCTCTCGCGCTCGGGCTGAACGTCATGAGCGGCGAGGAGGCGATGAAAGGCGGGGGGCCGTTTGGCGAGAAACGAAGGGCGAGGCCCCAGTGGACATCACGGGAAAGCCGGTGGAGGGCGGCGGCGCGGCGGCGAAGCCGCCGCCGCCGCGGCCGACGGCGTCCGCGACGCCCGCGTCCGCGTCCGCGACGCCGCCGACGCCGATGGAGACGTCAACTGAGCCGGAACCGACCGGGCCGAAGGCTGAGGCGAAGAGAGAGAAGGAGCTTGGGAACGCGGCGTACAAGGCGAAGGACTTTGACCTCGCGCTGAAGCACTACGACGCCGCCATCGCGCTCGACGACGAGGACGTCTCGTTCCTCACCAACAAAGCCGCGGTGAACTTCGAGAAGGGGGACTACGACGCGTGCATCGAGTGCTGCGACGACGCGATCGAGAAGGGCCGGGAGCTGCGCGTGGACTACAAGATGGTCGCGCGCGCGATGACGAGGAAGGGGAACGCGCTCGTGAAGAAGGACATGCTCGAGGAAGCGATCGAGGTGTACGCCAAGTCGCTCATGGAGCATCGCAACGCGGACACGCTCAAGCGCAAAAACGACACGGAGAAACTCCTCAAGGATCGAACGGTCGCCGCGTACATCGACCCGGCGAAAGCGGAGGAAGCGCGCGAGCGCGGGAACACGCTGTTCAAAGAGCAGAAGTACCCCGAGGCGGTCGCAGAGTACACCGAAGCGATCAAGCGCAACCCGGACGATCATCGCGTCTACTCCAACCGAGCCGCGTGCTACACGAAGCTCGCCGCGTTCAACGAAGCGACGAAGGATGCGGAAAAGTGCATCGAGCTCGAGCCGACGTTCGCGAAGGGGTACACGCGCAAGGGCCACGTGGAGTTCTTCACGAAGCAGTTCGACAAGGCGCTGGAGACGTACCAAGCCGGCCTCGCGCACGACCCGAACAACGAAGAGCTGAAGGACGGCTTGCGACGCGCGATGGTCGAGATCCAAAAGGGCAGCACCGGGCAGGTGAGCGAGGAGGAGATGAAAGAGCGTCAGGCGCGCGCGATGGCGGACCCGGAGATTCAGAACATCCTTCAGGACCCGGTGATGCGTCAGGTTCTGAACGACTTCGGGACGGATCCGAAGGCGGCGGCGGAGCACCAGAAGAACCCGGCGGTGATGGCGAAGGTGCAGAAGCTCATCAACGCGGGCGTCGTGCAGGTGCGCTGATTCGATGCTTCGACGCGACGCGATCGATCGAGCGCGGCGACGCCGACGCCGACGAGAGCACAGCCGCGCGCCTGAGGCGCTCGAGCTCTTCTACCGTAGGACAGACGCGCGATGTGACACGAAACATTTTTGCAGCCGGCGAACACGATACGTACTACCCACGGACGCGCGCACGAGACGAAACGAAACGAAATGCTCTCTACTAGACCGTCATATGTTCATCGCGTCGGCGCGCGTCCTCGATCGAATCGCTCGATCGATCGAATAATCAATCCTTCGCGAGGACGATGAACAGCGCGCTCCCCGACGCGAACAACGTCCCCTCGCTCTCGCCGCCCCCCCCCGCGTCGTCGTCCTCGACGTTCGCCCCCCTCGCCGCTCTCCCGTCCACCTCGCACGCGCGCCTCGGCCCGTCGCGCACCTCCACCCTGAGCCACACCTTCCTCCCCTCCGTCCTCTCCACGCCCGCGACGACGAGGAGGTCCGAGTCCGTCGGCAGCGGCGACGCGAAGTTGACGGTCAAGTTTGCCGTCATGCCGATCCCGCGCGTCGGCTGCACGAACTCCGCGTACGCTTGGCCCGCCATCTCGTCCATCAGCAGCGACGTGAACCCGCCGTGCGTCCACCGTGGGTGCCCCGCGGTTTTCGCGCCGGTGCGCAGGATTAGGAGGAGCTCTCGGTTCGGCGCGTCCATCAGGAGCCTGTGAGGGTCGTTCCATACAAGCGAACGTCGGGGTGGAGTTGAAAGGCGTCAGTTGGCGTTGAAAGGCGTCGAGGACGGGGATTGAAACCGGGGGGTGGGCGGAGAGACACGCCGGCAAAAGTCCTTAAGGATCGGCGTTCACCACGCGATCGCGGTCGTATGGGGACCAGTGTGTAGAACGCACCTCGGGACGCGGAAAAAGTCGCCCGAGGCGTGCAGCGCAGCCATGATGGAGTCCTCGCCGTGGAGCTGCCCGGGGGCGTCGAGGTCCCAGTACGTCGACGGCGCGCGCTCGAAGCGCGGCGGGAGCGTGGACGCGAGGTCGGACGCCCACGACGGCGGAGACGCGGACGCGGACGCGGACGTGGACGCGGCGCGGGAGAAGACGGAGCGACGGCGGCGGTGATGATGATGATGATGATGATGATGATGATGAAGAAGAAGATGATGATGATGCGTCGTCGTCGTCGTCATCGCGCGCGCGGTCGGCGTCGTCCTGCCGCCGCCGTCGACGAGCGCGCGCGCGGAGACGCACGACGAGCTCATCGCGCGCGACGCGACGCGACGAAGCATGCGAACGGCGCGCGCGCGCGGGAAGTGTGGGACGTGGTGATCTCATCGTTCTCTCATTCATAAATTACATTTACAACTCGTGGCGCCAGACGAACAGAAAAAAGTTTGCGTCGCGCTGCCCTCACGCCGCCTTCGCGCCCAGCAACTTACCGAAAAACCCCGGGTTGTTCGCCGCGAGCTGCAGGAGGTACTCCTCGTACGCCCCGCTCATGATCTTCGCCCGCGCGGCGTTGATCAGCGGCAGCGCTTTCTCCGAGTACACCTTCTCCACGTGCGGCGCCAGCTGCTGGACGATCGGCTTGGCGACGGCGTAGAACGCCTGCGGTGAGGATGATAATTTTCACGCGTGCATCGGTCAGTTGAAAGGGGAAGCGATCGAGTGTTGAAACCGAGGGACGGGTGAAAAACGTGAAGCGTGTAACAACTTGCCTTGATCGCGGCGATCGCCGCCTTCTTCGCGGGCGCGAGGTGCGCGTTCGCGACCGCGAGCGCGTTCGCGACCGCGATCGCCTCCGTGGGCTTCGGCCCGGTGCCGTAGTGCCACCCGAAGTACATCATCGCGCACCCGGCGCCGGCGACGCCGCCCGCGGCGAGGTCGTCGAGCTTCCCGAAGAGCGGGATCCAGTCCGGGATGAGGTCGAAGGGGAGGCCGCGGTACGCGAGGCCGCCGACGAAGAGGACGAGGCCTAACGACATCATCACGGACGCCTCCGCGAACTTCGCGGGGTTCTCGAGGTCCGCCTCGGTCAGGCCCTGGTGTAATTTTTTTGGGGCGACGGCGGGCGAGCGGGGGAGGGAGCGTCAGGGTCGCAACAGAGCGCGAATGCGATTATCGTCGTGGTGGCTCTGCAAAGAATTCGGGTTGTTAACGACGACGGGACGCTGGACGCACCGCGTAGCCAAACCACCACCACGGGAGCGCGGCGATGATGGCCATGAGCACGCCTTGCTTGATGGACACGCCGACGAGCTTGGTGAGGAGTCCCATGACGCTCTTCGGGGATGAAAAGTCGAGCGGGGGGTGACGCGGGAGCGAAAGGTCGCGCGCGCGGATTTATGTCCTCTCGGAGGAGAAAAAAATCGTCCCGTCAATGTCACTGCCCGCGCTCGCTCGTGTGCTTGTCGTGTCGCTCAAAAAACCGTTCGTCCGGTCCCGTCGCCGGCCACCCAAACCGCCCCCCGAGCGGACGATACCACCCTCCTCTCTCGCTCACGCGCGATCGAACACCGACGCAGCCATCGACGCGGACACGTCCGCGGCGACGTCCCGCTCCTCGCGGTCGAGCCAGCGCGCGTCGCCGCCGACGCCGCCGTCCGACGCTCGCAACGCGGCGAGAGAACACTCCCTCTCCAGCTCGCACTTCCCCGCCGCGCCGCCGCCGCCGCCGCCGCCGCCGCCGCGCCCGCTCTTCTTCGCGCCCGCCCTACCCCTACCCCTACCCCTACCCCCCAAATCGAGCCCGTACTCGCACATCAGCCCGTCGCCGTTGATCGTCACGACCCTCGCCCTGCCCTGGTCGCGATCAACGAGCAGCGCGCACTCGCCCGCGAGGAGACGGTTGCCGCCATCCGCGGCGCGAGACGGAGGCGGCTTGGCGGAGGCGACGTCGCGCTTGCGCTCGAGCTCGCGACCGACGACGGGCGCGCTCGACGCGACCGCCGCGCCGGCTTTGACCGCGCCCTTCGCGAGCTTCATCGCGAGGCCGCCGAGGCCGGAGGCGACTTTTCGCGCGCCCGCGGCGACGGCGTCGACGCGTCGCGAGACGCCGGCGATCTCCGCGGCGCCGCCGTTCGCGCTCGTCGGCGTCGAACTCGCGCTCGCGTCCGCGGCGTCGTCGCCGCCGTCGCCTCCGTCGCGCTCGCGATCCCCGTCCGAGCTCGTCGACGTGTCCACTCTGAACACGTGCACGGTCCCGGTCTCGCTGGACGCCGCGAGTAACGCGCCGTCGTCGAGCGTTTCTTCTTCCTCTTCTTCTTCTCTTTCGCCGCCGCCGACGCCGCCGCCCGTCGCGGACGCGAATCGCAGCGTCCGAATCACCGTCCCCAACGCGCCCCTTCGAAACGAACACACGGCGTCGCACGACGGCAACGCGAACACTCGCACGATCGTCCCTCGCGTGGACGCGCTCGCGAGCAGCGTCCCGCGCTCGTTCAGCGCCAACGCGGCGACGTCTCCGCGGTGCGCGTCCACCTCGGAGAGGCTGACGAGCGTCGAGGGTCCGTCCGCGCGAGCGATGATATCGGGGTGGAGTTCAAAGGCGTCAGGGGTGGAGTTGAAAGGCGCCGAGGTGTGTGCGTCGGGATTGAAAGCGAGGGACCTTGAGCGGAGAGATACGCCGGGAAGTAAAGTCCACAAGGATCGGCGTTCACCACGCCGACGCGGTCGTACAGGGACCAACGCGAGGAGAACGCGCCTGAGATGATTCACGCAGTCGTGCACGACGACGCCGCCTCTTCGCGACGCGGCGCCCTCGCCGCCCGTCCCACCGCCGCCGCTGCCGAGGGACGGCAGCGCGAGCGTGGAAGAACGCTCGCACGCGCTGAGCGCGACGATCCCGCGCGGGTTCGCGATCGTGTCGATGACGCGTTGCACGTTGA